ATCGCCCCTTGTGAACTCGCCTCTGGGATCCTGCTCCAGAATTGCTGCTGCTGCTTCGTCCTCAGGTGAGGCGTAGCTGTGGCCCTCGTTGGCGTAGACGCGGTTTGCATTCGTCTACTCGTCGTCACGAAATTGTTGCAGAAACAGTCGCTCGTAGAAGATGACATCGCGCGCATTCTTGATTTTCTGGCTTAGGAGATCCAGGATGATCCACGCCTTGTGTTCGTGGCTGATACCGAGATGGATTCCCCAGCGCGCGCGGCTTTTGAACTTCCCGATGGTTGATGTTGGCGGTCGGTATTGAACCATGCAGCCCCAGACGCGGAGCATGGGGGTGTCCCCCTTTCTTCCCGTCCATTTCACGTGCGGCGAGGAGTTGCCGGTGATTGCGGTGGTTGACAGCAGGTTGTGCACCCGCACGGCGTGGTGCATCGCGTAGGTCCAGTAGATCGGCGGGAGCTTTGCCTGCCGCATTAGCGCCCGTACTTTCGTCATGAGGGTGCGATTCGTGCGCTCCGCTACGCCCTGCTGCTGGTGCGCGTAGAAGAGGGAGATGTGATGCTCGATCCCCTTTTGCGCGAGGTAATCCTGCAGTTCCTTGCTCCTGAACTCCGCCGCACCATCGGACTGCCAGATCTTCAATTTCTCCCCAGATTGCCGCTGCGCGTGCGCCAGCCGCAGACGGAATGCTTCGTAGGCTCTGCTACGCGCTTCCACGTTTACGACCCACACGTGGCGCGTTCCGGCGTCGACGAAGGTGAGTGTGTAGAGTTCGTCGTTGATGCCGCAGTGTCCTACGTTGAGAAAGTCACTGTAAACCTTCTCAAGCTTGGCGTAGCGATTGGTTCCTGGCTCGAGTAGGGGGAAGGGCTGGTGACTCAGCGCAGCTTCGGGGCAGACAGTGCAGCTGCGCGGGTGAGTCCCTCCTCTCACTTCGGAGCCGTCAGGGCGCAACAGCGCGCCAGGTGCAAAGACGCCGGCTTCGATGCAGTTCTTCAGGGTCACGCGCGAAGGGTGACCTAGGCGCTGATGCCAGATGGCGTCGTCGGCGCGGAATCCAGATGTGCGCATGTAGCGCTCCAGTGCGGCTGCGGGGTCTTCGTCAGGTGCGGGTGCAGGTGTAGGCGCTGCTCCCTCGTTCTCTTCTTCTTCCTCGTTCGCCGTCGTTAGCATGAGGGCGAGAAATTCTCTGTCGCGGATGATGGAGTAGGGGATGTTGGTTCCCGGGATCGTGCCAAGTACGAACGCCGGTTCGCGTGGTTCAGGGGCAGGTCCGTAGACAGTGCGTCGCGGGGTGAGTGGTTCACTTCCCCAGTCAATGGTGTCCCAGGGGTCACTACCTGAAGGGATGTCAGGCGGCGGTGGTCCTAACGCAGGGCGGCGCGGAGGTCGTCCGAGAGGAACAACAGGAGGTTCGACCTCAGCATGCGCAGGTTCTTCTTCCTCTTCCCCCCTTTGATCCTCGCGGAAAGCTCCCCAGCCGCTCGTCTCGCCGCCTTGTGCGGCGCCCCATCCGCCGATGTATGCGCCTGTTGCTGCGCCCCATCCGCCGGTTGCGACGCCCCAGCCGCTGGTGTCGCTCGTTCCCCATCCGCCGGCGCTCCCCCACCCCCCTTCATTGGAGGCGCTTTCCTCGTCCTGCTCCCAGGCGAGCGTTCCGCGTGCCTCGGCGAGGCTCTTCCGCCGAAGCTCTTCGGCTTCTTGTTGCGCCAATGTCTCTTCTTCCGTGGGCGAGAGCCGTTTCTTGGAATCGCGCCGGTGAGAGTAGATCTCTGCCGCCTTTCGTTCGGTGTAGGGCCGGGGATTCCCATGCACGTCGAAGGTGCCGACGCCAACGCCGCGGAGCATTCCTTGGAGATGCTGGGATGCGGGTCCGGGAAGAGGGTGTTCCGGTGTGCCGAATACGACCCGTGTAGCTGTTTCCAACTCCAGTTGGGAGAGACCCTTTTCAGGCGGTGCGTCTCGCTCTGTTTCGCGAATGGCGGCAAGGCCACGGCCGGCGATCGCGCTCGTCGAAGACGTTGGTGTGTGGCAGTCCTTGCAGACGCCGTCGGGATCGGGGTCGTGCAGCGCGAGCTCGCGGGGATGTGAGTGGTGTGGCACCCAAGGGCGCCCATCAGGGTGCTTCCAATCGCGGCGATGAATGTGTTCGAAGCGCAGGGGGACAAGGTCAATCAATTCCTGCGAATCGCCGCTGCAGTCGGGAATGTCGAAGTCGAGAACGTATACGCCGTTCTCGGCGCGCGCCCGTCCGATCTGCTTGCGCTTCTTGTTCGGCATCGTGAAGTGGAGCAGGATGTCGCGCGTCTCGGGGTCGGTGCTGAGAATGACTCCGCAATCCAGGAGTTGCGCCGCCGAGAGTAAATTAAAGCGCAGGTTCTGCACAATCAACACGTCGTTAAGTGTGATGTGCGTTCGGCTCTCTCGTGCCTTGAGCACCACGATACCTTGCGCGCTTGCGCGCAGCCGCGTGTTGTTCGCCACTGTGACGTAAGTGACGACGGGAGTGGAGACGGCGTTGGATATGTAACGCTCGGAGCCCACCATATGCTGCCCACAGCAGCTGTCCAGGTACCAGTTGTTGTAGCGCCTGTTGTCGTTTCGCGCGAGCAGCGCCAGTCGCGGAGTGACGACGTGTGGAGTGTCTACCTTCAAAAACTGTTCGCGCGCGATCCAGTCGATCGGTGCCGGCCGCATGTCAGGTACGTGCGGAGGGCTCTTAAGCGGCGGGACTGGTAGATTCCAGTCCTGGTTGTCGTCGTCGCTGTAGTCGTGATGCGTGCTGAATGGATTGTTGTTGGAGATGCCTCGATTGGGTCGGGCGCCGGCTCAGGTGAGAGTGAGCGTGCGCGCGGGCGACGAGAGCCGCTCGTCATGGTCATGTTCCCCATGACGTTGCGGACGGGGGCAGCTTGTGGTGGCTGCTGCTGCTGCTGAGTTGTTGGATTCAGGTTGCGTGGTGGGGGTTGAGACCCCTGGGCGGGACGCGTGTCATTTCTTGCGTCTTGTCGGCCGGACCAAGTGCTCGGATTGGTCTGGCGAGGGCGAGATCGATGCTTGCATCGATCCGCCAGGTGCCCGAAATTTCTGCAGATCTTGCAGTAGAGACGCCGTGGTCGTCGCTCTTCCGTGTTGTCTGCGTAGAATGCGAGACGTTCTCTCTCTCGTCGTGGCGCTGGTCGCTGCTGGTCCATATCCCGTTGTTCGACGAGGAGGGCGGCGCAAAGGGCGGCCTCCGAGATGACCCCCTGCTGTCGGAGAAGCGCCTTGCAGGGCCGCCACTCTGGGCCGAGCCCTTGGAGCACGATGTTCACGAAGATCTCCTCAGAGATCGAGCTCCGACAGCGATTCAGGTAACTGTTGGCTTTCTCTCCTGGTGCCATCCTTGTTTCCAGTAATTGCTGGAGGAGGCGGCTCGACGACACTGAGTCCTTGGGTTGGTATACGCCATTCAGGTGGCGCCAGGCGTTGAGGGCTGGAGCAGGGGAGGTCTTGTATGAGCGAATGCTCAATTGCTCCGTCGGCGACATGTTCCGCAGAAGAACCCCATACGCCATCAGGGACTCGTTGTAGTACTTGGTTTTTACGTCGTCAGTATCTTCCGTAGGCCCCGAGTAGCTTCCGTCAAAATAATGATAAATCTGCGCGTTTTGCAGTAGCAGCTCCAGCTCAAAGCTCCAGGTATAGAAGTCTCTGCCGTCAAAGCACGCACTTGTCTTTATTTTTGATATGCTCGAAAACCTTGATTGCGCAGAGAGAATTGCTTCATCGCTGGGACAGGAAGTCTTGGGGGTTGAGCCGTTCGTATCGAGAGAGAAGCCTTGCGGGGCGGAGTTCTGGCCGTTTGAGGCCGGTTGAGTGGGTTGGGAAGAGGTTCCCGCATCGCCATTCCGCAATGTCTGGAGCCCTTGCTCCAGGCTCGTGAGTCGCTGAAGCAGTTGTGCGAGGACGGCGGAAGGAATCGTCGTCGTTTCCTCGTTTGTCGCAGCCGGGTTGGGCTGCGCTTCAGCCGTCAGATTCGTCTGACCTCCAGATCCTCCAGCCATTCTTACACGTGATCGTGTGCCGGACGCCACTTTCCGAATGTCGCAGATTTCGGAGATGGCGGTGCGAAGGATTCTTGAGTCGCTCTCATACCATGTTGAAATCCGAAAGTGATCGTAACCAGGATCACCTCAGGAAGGTTCGCACAATTCTAGTCTAGTGGTGGTGGGCCCTTGACCTCAATAGCAAAGTGAATGTAAATGCTTGAGATAATAAAAACGTGCAGTACAAGGAATATAAATATGAGTACAGGGGAATTCGAAACGACCTAACTAGCCATGTACTCTAAGGGGTACATTCCCTTATTGCAGCGAAATCCAACCGTGCGACTCCGAGTGGTTACGTAACTGTTCGGGCAGAATCCTCGCCACTGCTGCTGCCTGATGCTGTCTGCCCGACGGTCCAGATGCTCCTCGTAACCGTCTGTCCCTTCGCCTTTCTTCTGCCTTTTCGTCTTCACTCTCGATAGTGCGTGCTTCGGCTTTGCTACGGTGAGGAGTGCGCAACAGTGTTTTTCATTAACCACTATTCGTAACACTCCAGTATCACATTCAGTTCAATTCGGTAAGTGTACTTGTGCTACTATGGCAAATGTAAGAATACTGCAATTAGAAGGGGCATATTCCTGGGACACAGCTCGGAAGAACTGGACAGTTGTTTTTCATGCAGTAGATATGTAGTCAGTATCTGCTGGCTACTGGTGACTCCAACTGATCCATCACATTACCATGACCTTCAAGATGCTTCAATGATTCACTTGTTGTGCCACACACCTGCACATGCGTGAACTGTTAAGCTGACTGGCACAATAGCAGGTAGTAGGTATGGTGCAGGTACTCGCCTGAGTCAAGATTGAGGGCATTCGTCGTGCCTCTGTCAGAAGAAGTTCCATGTCTTCAAGGAGTCCTCGTTCAAGCGTAAGAAAGGCCTGCCACATCCCCATTTTTCAGCGGACGCTAAGGCTGAGTGAGCATGTTCATAGCGTGCAGAGAACCCACCACTCTGCTGGCACGCATCTTCATTTCAGATTGTTGCAGGTTCTGCAAGGCAGTGCAACCACGATTATAACAGAAATACAACATTCACATACCCGGCGAGCACAAATTACTTACCGATTCTAACCTCAGTAGCATTCGTTCTGACGCTTTGCTGCCCTTATAGAAACACTTTTTCTGAACGAGGATGTTGTGACGATAACGGTTTAGGTCGTGGGTATACGCATGAGCTTCCAACAGCTTGAGCTTCCCCTGCATGAAAGTATTTCCGTCTGCATGAGAAAAATTACAAGGTTCTTGCTTTTCCTGACGCTTGTCTCTAAAGCCTTACCGGAAGGGCTCCAAACGATTCTTTCCAGGTCCGCAGAGGTACGAGAGCTGCATGAAACAAATCGGAACCCTGAAAAGAACCCAGAAGATAAATTATATCGATTCTGAAAAATAAGTTCTTCTTCGCCGACAGTTCACTTACCAGCTGCAGTCTCAAGGGTTCTATGCTGGACGACAGCGACGGGTCAGTGAAATAACGCTTTGACGATGCCTTCATGTCCACATCAGATTCACTAGGCGCCGACGCCTCGTGCAGTGAGGACATAGACTGTCCGTGGTTGTCATTTTCTGTAACCTTCAAAACAGCAGCAGTTCCTGGCTTCTCGGGCAGCTCGACAGCGGTTCCTGAGAGGGCTACTTCAAACACACCTGAAATCGAACGTGATTAAGACTTCCCTCTCAAGACCAAGAATCTGACGGACAGCTTTACCTACCGTCTAACGACTTTAAGAGTCTTGCAACGGCTGCCTCCAGCGAGCACACTGTAGGGAGAAAGCCAGCCAAATTCGAATAGACTGTGGACACACTTTCCAGGTTTGTCTTGTGGAAACACTTGGATCTCGAGGGAAATATTGAATCCATTACCTGCGCATTTGCAACGATGAGGAAAAAGCATGCTACGGCGTAATTTGTTATGAACTTGGCATACCCATTCTCTCATTGTCCTCCCGCCACGCGAAATTCCAGTCGGCATTATTCTGCAGCAAAAGTTGAATGGAGAAACAACCACCACAGCCTGAGTTGCTTTGCTGTTTTGAAGGTCTCGAATTTGTCGCTGGCTGGAACAGAAGCAATCTCTTGGCTGGATTCCCGAATCGCAGGGCAAAATTTCTATCAACTTTGTTTGAAACACAATGTATGGGTGTAGCAGCAGATTCGGAAAGGTATCTGCTGTAAATGAGAATCCTTCGTGCACACTAGAAAATATGCAGAGTGTTTATAAAGTGTATGTGACGGCACTTCGGGAGCTGCTGATCGTCTTGTGCCCTCACAAAAAATTACAGGTTTCTCTGATTCCAGCAAATTGGGTTCTGTCACAGAATGGAGTTCTTCAGAGACGCCAGCGATGCGACGAGAGACCCTAATTTGCTAGAATCTCCAAGGCCCTTCGCTGGATCTACGCTCCTTCTGGTACGTCTCAGCTGATCATTCAGGTGTGTCTCAGTAATCGTTACCGGACTGATTGTTTGTCACAGAGGCTCGCATCGTGATTCGTAGCCTGCTGATAGGTCGCGTAGCCGGAAATTCTCCATCGGTTCCTGCGTATTACATGGCAAAGCTTCGCTTTTTAAGGTTTTGTATGTATCATGCGGAGCTGAGCGCTAGTTGTCTCTTTCCTTCGGATTCTGGCACTTCCGCGATGATAATTGAGAGTTGCATGGTGTCAATGAACAGTCGATTCAATTACTGTCTGCTCATCGCCCTTCCTTCTGGTCGGAAGGAACCCCCCATCATGTTGGTCTACCATCCACATTGCCACCTACTAGGCCTGATAACTCTCGCACTTTCGTTCGTCCCTCTCACGTATTACCCAAGTCTTCACTTGCGCTCCTTTCGTCCCCTATCCCAATTTTCCAGCCTTCAGTATCTGTGGGGAACGTAGGCCAGCTCACAGTGGACCTGCTTCTTGAAACGCTGCTACAGAAGCAGCACCAGCAGAAGCAGCAGGAGCAGCAGCAGAGCCAGGGCAGCTATAGCATCGCGCGTGTGGGTTGGCTGGAGGAGCCGAATGTGCTGCCATGTGCAGGCAACGACCCCTATAGCGTGGGAGGCAGAGGAGCCGGAGGGATGGGGTTCAGTGGACCAGGCAGCTTGACAACAGCCATGGAAGGTTTGTGTGCAATGGCACCATGCACTCACCTTGTGTTTCCTTTCTGTTTTCTGAATGGCCTGCTTTCGAGATTCCTTCTCAAGTCACACACAACTCTTGATACCTTCCAGCCAGCACCAGGCGGATTCTCGATCCCTTCCAGAAAGCCTGTAGCCTGCTGTTCACGCTTGACACACCGCCATCTGTGTGCCGTTCTTTTTCCCTCTGTTCATTACACTGTACCTCAGTTATTCATGCAGTGCCCAAATCTCAGTCCACCTCTCCTCCTTTCGCCGATGCTTTCACCATTATACAACAAAGGTCTCCAGTGGCACTGGTACGCACCTATTGAACTTTGTAACAGTTCGCTCCCACTCTTTTTTCGCTCTCTATCAATGCATGCGCTTGTTTGCTCCTTTCTTCCTCCTGTATCGCCTCCCATGTAAATGTTTGTTCCATCAGATCACACGGCTCCTCCTGTGTCTTCCACATTCATCAATGTCTTTCTCATCTATGTGTCTCCACCAACCCATCAGGGCAGGATGGAGGAATTCTCTCGCAACCTAGCCACCTGGGCAGCGTCGCAGGCGTTTTCCCGAGTGGTTGTTCTTTCTGGAGCAGATGCGCAACGAAGGCTGGCTCCTCAGATTGATGGGTTGGTCCTGCATCTCCGCATTCCCTTCCAAGACAAATCCATTTCGCTCTAGTCACCACTTCTCATCAGTGCTAGGATGATGTGTTTGCTTTCTTCGTCCACTGGCAACTCCCCATCATGTTATACTTCAGCTCAAAGTATCATGTGCTTCGTAGTTCAATTCAAGCTGTTCATTCTTGCATGTGTAACTTCGTCTGGCATCTTCCCCGTCTGTCTCTCTTTCTTTCTCTACAGGGATCAGTTCCGTTTTCTTCTTGTAGACCCGTCGCTGCCCGCGCCCGCCTCCCCTCCCTCATCTTCCTCGCCTGAACCAACTCAATCTGCATCGTTCAGCACGTCCCTCCTTCAATCTCTTGGCTGGAAGCCTCTAGAGAGCTGCGATCCATTTGGTGGCCTTCCCTCTGCTTCCTCCTCGCTTCCAACGGGTGCTGATGGTTCTGGAACAAGCACAGGGGAGAGAGGGAATGAAGGTCACATGGAGCCAGAACAAGAGGAGGCTGTTATGGCAGGGGAAGAAGGTGAAGAGGATCCGGGGCCGTTGAGGGGTGGTGAATGGGGGCCTGAGCAAGGACTAAAGTGGAAAGCAGCCTTTCTCCGTATCTGCATTGCACTAAAGGTAAGACGAGTACAGGATGTGATTTTCTGTTTCCGTTTACCTTGCTCTGTATTTGATGAATTGCTGTGGTATACATCACTACTCGTGCATGTCCTTTGCCAATTTTCACAAACTATGTAGAAGTTGGCAACTCTGTTTTAGGATGGTATGACTCTCAACTTTCCTTTTCCCACAATTCCCACAGGAGGTCAACATTCCCTCTATTGCACTCCTCGTTTTTTGCTCTGAGGGAGACAATGTGCCAGATGCTTTTCACCTAGCAGAACGCCTCACTGCTCTTCTGCCGTCATCCCTACTCCCATCTTCTGCTCCACCAATCACTGATTTTTCTGGAAGCATGGATGGTAGGTGTCTGATGTGGGGCTGTTTGTGTACTGTTGAAGTTCTCTTCCCCCCTTTTTTCTTTCTAATAGAAAATCTTCTCATTTTAAATCTTTCACGCTAAACCAGCATGCCTGAAGTGCCAGTCAGATTCGTTGTGCTCCTTGTGTTTGTTGAATCCATGTAGTGACATGTGGCTGTGAGCCTGTGTCGCACATACAGCTCGCCTGGCTGGGTCTTTCATCTTGACTGATCCTGGATCTGCTTTTGCCTGTTGCAGGTATGCACTACGACAGGCCAAGCGTTCCCGCTGTCCACTGGTGTGTCCCCCCTTCTTGGGGTCACCTGTTCGGACCACCTCCTGACGATGCACTTTACTGCTAGCTATTTCTAGGCTTGTTTGTGAAGGTGTACCTATTCATGGCTGGCACGAATCGTCCTTAGTGAAGCCTTTTCTATTAGCATCCGCCAAATTAAGACCTACCGTATATGTCACCGTCGGGACTTATGGTTGCAGTGAAGTGACCTCTGAGATCTTGGCTGACCCTGGCTATCTTTGGATCTGACCATCAAAGCAGTACACTACGCGTGATCATCCGATTGAGGTTCTTTTTTGCACTCTGGTTGAATGTGTTTTTGGGCTCACTTAGGGTCAACCAATAACGAAGCATGATCCAGATCATCATCTCGGTCAGCAATACTCGGAAGAAAATGCGGTGCCAGGTCAGCCTCGTACGAAACCAGCCGTTTTGACGGCTACGATCTTTATCCAAACCAATGACAAACTCATCGTCAGCGACGCGGATTGGTCTAATTCCGCTACTTCCGCCCCTGACGAAACTGCTCGTCAATGACTGGCTAGATCTTACACATCTGGCCGTGTCAACAAACCAAAGAAATCCGCTCCTCGTGCCACCGCCACGCAAGCTCCGTCTCACACTCGATCCAAAATCACATCACATGCCACGGCAGCATAACTGCTCCTGCAGACCGCCGAGTCGCTCGCTCCCCTTTCACAGAAGTGGGCTCGTGGCATTATCATTTGGTTCGGTTCAGTTTGTTTCAGGACGGTTAAAGGCGCTTCCGCTACTCTCACCTCCCACACACAGCCAAGACTAGCAGAGAGAGATTCAACAAAATGTGAAAATCCATTTCCTGTTTCTCGTTTTGTCATCTGACTTTTACTCGCCGCATTCTCCGGTACTTCGTCCCTATACTCCCGCCTCTCACCATGGCACCTGTCGCTGTTCGCGCCGCTGTCAGTCCAGCTCTTGCAGCAACTCCTGTTTCCCGCAACCGCTTAAGCCGGCCCTCTCCCCGCTGCTCTCTTCGGTGTCCCGGTGCCGCGAGTGGCGCTGAGCATTCCCTCAGCGCAAATCTAGCGGCACCGCTGCGCCAGCGATCGTTGGCGCAAACAAGCGCTGCTACGTCGAGGGGTTCATTGACAGTGGTGGCGATGGCGGAATCAGCAAAGAAAGTTGCGATACTGGTGAGTGATGTTCTGAGGAGGTCTAGAGAAACATTAATGAAAAAAGCAATGAAAGCTCATTCACCCTCGGAAGCTAATGCTAGTCAGGCACTGCTGCTACTGCTCTCGGTTTTGCTCGTGCTCAAGTTCTGTGGTGCAAACACAAACCTTTCTTTTTGTTTGTTATGTTTTTTTTTTTTCCTCTTTTATGGTGACCATCTGGATGCGTTCTAAAGCTCCTCTTTCGCATGCCCTGGGGTTTTCGCTTTCTCTTCTCCCACTCAACCTCCCTCTCTGTTCCTCTCCGCTTCCCCTCCCGCTCCCCTCCTTCCTCCCCCGCGCGGCGCAGATCAACGGCGCGCCCGGCAAGATGGGGCGCGCGGTGGCGCAGTCCGCCATCGCGGCGGGCGTGCCGATAGTGCCGCTGGGGCTGACAGGCCCGGGGCTGCCCAAGGAGCGGCTGACGTACGGCGACGACGCGTCCGTGTACGTGGACGTGTTCCCCGCCGACGAGCGCGACGCGGTGCTGGCGGAGGCGCGCAAGGACTACCCGGATCTGATCGTCGTGGACTACACGTTGCCGGCCGCCGTTAACAGTGAGCGGCGCGGGGCGGGAGCGGGGGGCGTGGGATGGGTGCTGTGCTGAGAATGGGAGGGTGGTAGAAAGGGGAATGGGAATCAGGGAAATGGGAGAGAAAATGCGGAACGGTTCTAGTGGGAGAATGGGGAAGGAAAGGCAGGTATAGGACTAGGCAAGTGAACAGCATCGTCACAGGGATGTTGAAAGGCGAGGCAAGCTTGGTGCAGCACGCAACCATCCGATTTCATTCCGTCCCATCCTTTTCGTCGAATCTTCCTGGTGGCTTCCCTTCCCCACTTCCCCACTCACTTCCTCTCTCTCCTCCTTTCCCCGCTTCCCCCCTCCACCCTCTTTCCCCCCTCTTTCCCCCTGCCCCTCCCGTGCGCCAGGCAACGCGGAGTGGTACATCAAGTACCGCGTGCCGTTCTCCCTCTCTCCCTCTGATCCCCCCCTCTCTCCCCCTTCTTTCCTACCTTCACTCCCCTTGTTCCCTGCCTCCCCGCGCGCGCCAGGCAACGCGGAGTGGTACATCAAGAACCGCGTGCCGTTTGTGATGGGCACGACGGGCGGCGACCGCGCGAAGCTGGCGGCTGACGTGGAGGCGAGCGGGCTGCACGCGGTGATCGCGCCGCAGATGGGCAAGCAGGTCGTCGCGTTCCTCGCCGCGCTCGAGACGCTCGCGGAGCAGTGCCCGGGCGCGTACGCCGGGTACAAGCTCAAGGTAGGTTCTGAGTCGACTCAGACGAGACACTCGCGGAGCAGTGTCCGGGCGCGTACGCCGCGTACAAGCTCAAGGTGGGGCCGAGTCTTCTTGGTTTCGAAGATACTCACCATCTTATCTGTCCAACCCCCTTTTCCCCGCCTTTCCTCTGCTCCATCCCCTTTACCCTCCCACACGCCCCGTGTCCCCATCTTCTCTGCACCCTTCGTCCTTACACCCTCACAGCCTGCATTGACGATCAGTCCCCTCGGACTCTCGTTCCTCGCCCTCTTTCCTTCCCTCTGCCTTCTTCCTTCCCTACCCTGTCCCGGGAACGTCTCTATGCTTCCCTCCTGTGCGTGTATCCTCGAATTGACCCCGTACACCACCCCTCTGCTCCTCTGCTGACTCTATGTAACATCGCTCTCTGCTGTGCGCTGATCCGGACGTGCCTGTGTTGCCCTCCGCGATCCGAATGAATGCAACGGCGGCAATGCAGGTGGTGGAGTCGCACCAGTCGTCCAAGGTGGACACGTCAGGCACGGCGAAAGAGGCCGTACGGTGCTTCCAGAAGCTCGGGGTCGACTATGACGTCAGCAAGGTGAGCCGCGTCGCACCTACAGTACACGTGATGCTATGCTGTCGCTGGCTCCTCCCCTTCCTCCTGCTCTTCCCGCTTGTATGTTCCTTCCGTCTTCCAATTTTTTCTTCGCCTCCTGACACGCCCAACAACCCATCCACGCTCTCGCGTCCATCCACATCCACATGCTCATTCACGCCCACACTCACTCACACGCGTGCTCTCGCTCACTCGCACACAGCGCACCCTCACTCACTCACACACACATAATGCAAATTGACACACACATACACACACATCTCTTCCCCTTTTTCCACCTTTACCTCACCTCCCCCTTTCCCCCTCTCCCTGCGTGCTGCCCTCTCCTTGCAGATCATGATCGTGCGCGATCCATCGGAGCAGATGGCGCGCATGGGCGTGCCCCTTCCCCCCCTTCCTCCCTCACCTCACCTCCTCTCTCCCCCTCTCCCCACGTGCTGTCCATTCCGTCCGCGCCTGCGTGCAGATCGAGATGGTGCGCGACCCATCGGAGCAGATGGCGCGCATGGGCGTGCCGGAGAACTACCTCAACGGCCACGCCTTCCACACCTACCACCTCGACTCGCCCGACAACACGTGAGATTCGATACGGTGGAGGAACGAGAGAGAGGACGAGAGAGAGGACGAGTAGGAAAGCATGGTGTGAGCGATGGGAGTGGGGTAAGAGAGAGTGGGAGGGATGGGGGAAGATGGGAGTTGGGAGGGCTGGGGGAAACGAGCGAGCACCTAGTGTTGTGAGCAGTTCCCGTCCAAATGGGTAGGGCATTTACCTGGCAGTGTTTGTATTCCGTTCCTGTTAGCTCCCCTTATTCTTCGCTTTCTCCATTTTCCTCGCCTGCATGTCCCTTGCATCACGTCATGGCCGATCCATTCACCGTGCATATCACCCTCTCTCCCCCTCTCTTTCCCCCTCTCTCCCCCCCTCTCCCTCTATTTCTCTCTCTTTCCCTCTCTCTCCCTCTCCCTCCCTCTCTCTTCCTCTCTCGCCCGTACTTGTCTCGTCACATGTCCATGCACGTGCACATGCAGGGTGTCATTTGAGTTCCAGCACAACGTGTGTGGCCGCAGCATCTATGCCGATGGCGCCATTGATGCCGTGCTCTTCCTCGCTCAGAAGGTCGTGCGCCCTTGCATCCATGCATCTATCACCATGCATTGTGCCATTCTTGATTTCCCCTCCCGTGCACCATGCCTCGTCAATCTTTTCTAATAGCACGTACACAACGTACACCATCTTGTGCTAATCCTAACATGTGTATGTGTGTTTGCATGGATGTTTGCTTTTCTGCACAGATCAAGGAGGGAGACACCAGCAAGACACTTTTCAACATGATTGATGTTCTCAAAGCCGGGAGCATGCGTTGATACTTCTTAGTTACGTGTTTTTCCAGTAGGTCTTGTGAAAGGTTTTTTTTTTTTTTTTTAATGGAAGAGTACGTGCCGTTTTTTTACTACATCATTGTGTTTAGGCAGCGTGTAAGGAAAATATCTTTTTCCTTACTTCGCGTCCCTGCTCAACGCGTACATCACTGTAGCACCACAGTCAGCACCGTTACCACTCGCAATCCTCGCATCGACAATCCGCCCGCCACCTTCGCACGTCGCACCCCGACCTCACGGCTCGGCGGGTAACACGCGCTCCGGGCCTCCGCTTCGACACTTTTCCCAACCTCAGTCCCAGGCCCGTCGCGCGACAACCACAGTCCATTACCGTTACCACTGTAGTTTCGCTATATATTCTTCGCTCATGCCTTCGCTCATTGTACTCTTGCTTCGATAGTGCAATTCTCGTTCGTTCACTCAATTGCACTCGTAACACTTGGTATTCAGAGCCTACGACCTCTTCTCGGACCGCACCCACACCTTCGCTTCCCCACTATCTCAATTTTTTGGGGGGGGGTAGACGTCTCTCAGCGACACAGCACCGCCGCTCGTAGTGCTCTCTCGTAAGCACGCACGGCCACGACTGAGGCTCTCGCTGAGCTCGCCCGACACCCCCGCCATGGCCGAATTCACGCTCGCCACATTGACGCAGGAGCAGCTCGACCGTCTGGTGCGCCAACCCGAAGATTCGGCGCTCGAAATTGCGATGCTCACAGCGGAACGTGACTCCGCGCGTCAGCAATCAACGGTGAACACTCCAGCAGCACCACACACTCCAGCAGCACCACACGCACCAACAAATGCACCTGCACAATCGGACGAGCCAATCGTCATCTCGTCCGGGACACCAACACAACACGACAGCATGGGACAGCGCTCGGGCGCAGCCAGTGATAGCGCCGCCCAACCAATGCCTGGCATGGGAGGAAACAGGGGCGCGCCAAGCCCGCGGGAGCCTCGCGAAGCCCGTCGGCACGTGGAGTTCGCGGCGACAAGTGGCGAACAGGCCATCATGGCACCAATGCCACTCAAGCCGCAACGCCCGCCCTGTTTCGACCCGAGCCAGCGTGGAGGTCCGACGGTTCAATCGTGGGTTTTCACGATGAACGTCTTCTTCGACGCGAATTACGTCGAGTCGGACGCAGCGAAGATTCGGTATGCCGTTTCGCTGTTAAGGGGCCCCGCCATGGACTGGTGGCGAGTCATCGTGACGTCGCCACGCGCCCACCGTCGCAAGAGGAAGGGCCCACGGGTCCAGCTGTCACCTGGAGTTCATTCTGCGAGACCGCCCAATACAGCACGTGGGATGCGTGGTGCGCAGGGCTTCGGGCGCGCTTCGAGCCGATCGCGGCTTCTATTTCGGCGCGTCAGAGATTGCGCACTTGGCGGCAGCTCGGGTCGGTTCAAGATTACACGAGCGGTTTTCTCGCACTTTGCGAGCAGGTCGGCTACATGCACGAAGCGGAGCGGGTGGACCGTTACGTCGGAGGGCTGAAGCCGGATATCTCGCACGAAATCATGCTGCGCGGACTCTCAAACTTCAACGAGATTCTCGCGCTCGCCGAGAAAATCGACATTCTACGCCGACCGAGACCGGGGTCCTACTACGGACATCGTCCTCGGAGACCGATCGAGCACGCCACTGTAAACGCTGTTGCAACGAATGCAGCTGCCGCACCGTTTAAGGGGCGCTGCTTTGCTTGCAACAGGCCGGGCCATCGCAAGAGCGAATGCCCAGAGGAGCTAAGGCGCCGCGGAGCAGAGCAGGGGAGGGAGTCTCAGAGGCAGGGAAACGCCAGCAGTCAGTAGAAGTTGGGCCAACTACTGACGAGACTGCCTGCTCGCCCAACCGCACCGACCCTCACCGAGTCACAGTACCGATTCACGCCATCGATCGGGCTCGGATGAATAAGGAGGGTACAACGACGGATTGCCCAGTACTGATCCACGGGAAAATACAGGGAGCAGCATGTCAGAATCCCAACCACTAGACCATTGGGATAAAAGGGCTTGTTTCAGTAGCGGGTCAGTGCGCCCATAACCCCCCAGGCGAACGCGCCTGTAACCCTCTTCAGGATCAATCGGTCATCCACAGTGCAGATCTACTGACACCCCCCCACACTGGGAGGCCCAGGACTAAGCACAGCGGCACCGGCCTACATGTGCATACACCGGGAATCGAACCCGAGACCGCTCTGATACCATGTCAGAATCCCAACCACTAGACCATTGGGATAAAAGGGCTTGTTTCAGTAGCGGGTCAGTGCGCCCATAACCCCCCAGGCGAACGCGCCTGTAACCCTCTCCAGGATCAATCGGGCATCCACAGTGCAGATCTACTGACACAGCAGTGAAGATTTTTATTGTCGGAGGAGCAAGCCACAGTTTAGTTAATACCGCAACTACGCGAAAATTACAACTGACACTTAGTCTCTGCTTACCTGAGATCGACGCACGCTTAGTTGACGGCACGCCGCTGGCCATACGGGAGAAGGTGGAGAGAGTAAAAGTTCGCTGCGGGGGAAACTTCGGGTTTACACAGGAAATGCTCGCGACGACATTGGATAGACATGATGTTTTACTGGGACGTGATTGGCTACGACTGTACAACCCACGAATCGACTGGACGACGGGTAGCTGCACTGTGCGAAGTAGCGGTAACTGGGTCATGCTACCTCGCTGGCAGTCGCCTGAGTCTTCAACGGTCCACGTCAACGCCATCACGATGAAACGGGTTGTCGCCGCTGGAGCTGACGTGTACGCAGTAGATATAGCATTAGTAGGAGAAGCGGAGCAGCCGAGCGATTTTCAGAAACTGTTGGCAGCAGTACCGCCCGAACTACAGGAACTGTTGAAACGGTACCCGGGGATTTTCCCAGACGACTTACCGGAAGGGCTGCCACCTCAGCGGGCGCATGATCACAGGATCGCGTTAGAACCGGGGGCACAGCCAACTGTACAGCGCCAGTTCAGACTGACACAACCCGAGCTCGACGAACTGAGGAAGCAGTTAGATTATTTGTTAGAGAAGCAGTTTATTCGACCAAGTTCGTCACCATTCGCCGCACCGATACTGTTCACACCGAAAAAAGACGGAGGGTTTCGCATGTGCATCGATTACCGAGCGCTCAACAGGGTAACAGTCAAGTCGCGGTACCCCATTCCCCGCGCCGACGAACTGATCGACCAACTGCGAACAGCACGGGTGTTTTCGAAATAGACTTACGGGGGGGTTACCATCAGATTCGGGTCGAACCATCGGACTGCGCCAAGACAACATTTAGGACTAGGTACGGGTCGTTTGAGTACACGGTGATGCCTTTCGGGCTGACCAACGCGCCCGCAACATTTCAGATGACCATGAACGAGGCGTTTAGGCCACTCTTAGATAAATGCGTGATAGTTTACCTCGACGACATCCTCGTCTACAGTCGCGACAAGCAGCAGCATTTAGCGGATCTCGAAGCAGTATTTAAAGTTTTAGAGGAACATCGATTACTAACCAAGGGCTCTAAGTGCGAGTTTTTTTGGGACAAACTAGATTTTTTGGGGCACGTTATTTCGGAGGCTGGAGTTGAAATCGACCCAAAGAAGCTGGATACGGTACAAGCGTGGCGTCCCCCGATGAACATCACGGAACTGCAGAGTTTTTTAGGGTTCGTTAATTATGTTCGTCGGTTCGTCCCCGACATGGCACAGTTGACTGCCCCGCTGACGGATTTACTGCGAAAGGGGGTCGTTTTTACGTGGGGGGAGAAAGAGCATGCTGCCTTCTCTGCCCTGAAAAATGTTCTCTGTTCACCGCCCGTCCTGCGCATCGCCGACCCACACCGCCCCTTCGAGGTTGTTACAGACGCAAGCGACATCGCCATTGGAGCCGTACTGCTACAGGACTTCGGCAACGGCCTACAGCCCATCGCATACGAGTCACGAAAACTGCATCCGCCCGAGCGAAATTACCCGATACACGACCGCGAAATGCTCGCGATCGTGCATGCGTTCAAAGTGTGGCGCTGCTACTTGACCGGCGCAGACGTGACAGTACGGACAGACCACCGATCACTACAGTACCTCCGCGCACAGCCCCACCTCAACCCACGACAGATTCGGTGGCTCGATTTCCTCGAGTCAAACTTCCACTACACAGTCACCTATAAAAAAGGAGCCTCGAACATCGCCGACGCACTGACCCGCCCCACTGCCCAGATCCACGCGATACTACTCGCCCAGACCAGCCCGCTACTGACAGAACTATTTACCCACGGATATCAAACGGACCCATTCTTCACAGGAGGAAATTCGCAGCAGTTCGCAGCAGCCAAGGGAGTCTATTACGTAAAAGCCGGGACCGACCGCATCTGGGTACCAGGGTACACACTGCTACGGGAATTACTATTACAGGAGGCACACGACGGGGTTACCTCGGGACATTTCGGGGTAGAGAAAACACGGCAGCAGCTGCAGCGGTATTATTACTGGCCCGAAATGTTGACCGACGTGCAGCGACACGTGGCATCGTGTCCCACTTGCCAGATCATGAAGTCAACACGGAAGCGGCCGGCGGGACAGTTGCAGCCAATCCCACCTCCAGAGCGTGCTTGGCAGCAGGTGACGATGGACTTCGTCACGGGGTTACCGGCCGGGGCGAGTGGAAATGACGCGATCCTGGTCGTCGTCGATCGACTGACGAAAATGGCACACTTCGTAGCCTGCAAAAAATCAATCACAGCCGAAGAAACAGCCCGCCTCTTCATCTCTACCGTCGTTCGACTGCACGGGATATCAGCATCAATCATCAGCGACAGAGACACGAAATTCACCAGCAACTTCTGGCGGAACCTGTGGCAGCAGTTCGGCACGCGACTACAGTTTAGTTCATCGTACCACCCCGAAACAGACGGACAGACAGAACGGACAAATCAGACCATGGAACAGCTCATCCGGGCCACGTGCGACGACCCAAACACGTGGGAACAGCAACTGCCACTCATCGAATTCGCATACAACAACACCCCATCCGCCACGACCCAACAGTCACCGTTTTACCTGAATTACGGACAAGACCCAACAGTACCCATGACCCCGAATCCCGACAACCCGGTTCCACGCGCGCAACAGTTCGCCGAAATTTTGCAAGCAGCACGAACCAGGGCAGCAGACGCAATTAAAAAAGCTAACATCATCGCTAAACGCAACGCGGACCGCCACCGCAGACCTGTCACTTACCAGCCCGATGACTTAGTTTAGCTCGACACCCAAAATCTCCGACTGCCCATCACCCCGAAACTCCGCCCCCGATACTGCGGGCCATTTCGCATAAGCCACATGCTTACACCTGTCACCGCCCACCTCCTCCTCCCTGCTGACTGGTACGTCAGCCCCTCGTTCCACGTCAGCCTGCTTCGCCCTTACGTCCCGTCCACGAGCCAACTGCCACGCAATCGCCCAGCCAGCATGACAAGACCACCGACTGAACCAATCATCACCCCCGAGAAAATCCTGAGTCACAGAGTTCGCGACCCTCGAGGAGCCCGAAGGACCGAGTTCTTACTCCGCTGGAAGGACCGTACACCCACCGAAGACAATTGGGTTCCCCTGGACAGAATCGAAAACCACCCCGTCCTCACCGAGTATCTGCGCAGCCGGAATTTCAGGGATGTACACGCACTTTCGTAAGGAGGACCTCCTTAAGGGGGGGGGTAGTGTAAGGAAAATCTTTTTTTTCCTTACTTCGCGTCCCTGCTCAACGCGTACATCACTGTAGCACCACAGTCAGCACCGTTACCACTCGCAATCCTCGCATCGACAATCCGCCCGCCACCTTCGCACGTCGCACCCCGACCTCACGGCTCGGCGGGTAACCCGCGCTCCGGGCCTCCGCTTCGACACTTTTCCCAACCTCAGTCTCAGGCCCGTCGCGCGACAACCACAGTCCATTACCGTTACCACTGTAGTTTCGCTATATATTCTTCGCTCATGCCTTCGCTCATTGTACTCTTGCTTCGATAGTGCAATTCTCGTTCGTTCACTCAATTGCACTCGTAACACAGCGGATGGTACTGAATTCTTAAGACAATGCTGGTTCATTTGGGAAACCGAAAATAGCACTTATACGCTTGATTTGCGGAAGCTAATAACGAGAACCGAAAGGGGCAATTTCTTGCTCAATCTGGCTGGCAAGCGGTCATGCTCTCCGTAAGTGCATGCGGAATCTGACGGTAGACTATTCTTGCGTGTCGCCGCCGGGCTTTTAGATGACCTTTCAGCGACCCAGAATGCGTACGTGGCATTCGCTGACTCAGGGTCCTACTCGCATTTCCATGGCGCCTCGATGTATTACGCGTCGCGACCCTCAAATCTTCAAAGCATCGCGGCGGCGTGGTCGTATGCGAGTGCGAACGAACCCGCCCCGCTTCGCTACGTCACGTCAGCCTTCGGCGCCTCTCTCTCCACCATCACCCGAGCGAGCTCTCTATTCTTCCCCAAAGGCCTCCTCCGCCTATCTTCATAAAACCAGCGCTTTCGTCTCCGCTCGCTTGCATTCATCCGCAGTACGGCACGGAATTCTATACCCTCCTGCTCCCGAAACCCAGTTCCAACCCCAGTTTCTCGTTCGAGTGCTGCTGCCTCTGCTTCCCTTCGAGCGCGTCCCGTTGCCGTCGTCGATTTCTGCTGGCGTTGAGAGCGCAAGCGCCGCGGCGGGATCTTGACGCGCAATCCCGTCGGATTTCGCGGCGTCGCTGTTTCACGGATGAAGATTGACCCGGAAGCCGGTTTCGCTCCCACCCTTCACCACAAGGGTGACCCGCGCGACGAGAGTGGCACTGCTTCCGCTCCGAGCGCCACCGTCGCGCCGCCTGTTACGACGGATCCAGCAGCGGCCGCAGCAGCTCCGCCCGATTCGCCCGCATCGAACATAGTCCCCGGCACGCCTGAACTCGCAGCGAGGGGATCTCGCCGCGTTGGTAACCCGTCGCCGTCATCGCCGCTCTCCAGCGTGAGCGGCAGCCGTCGGATCGTCGCCAGCGAGTTCATCACGGAAGAAGGCGGCCAAGCCGCGACCTTGGCGCCGACTGCCGCGGCGTCCATCGCGGCGTCTATCGCGGCCGCGAATTCCCCTGCTGCATCTGCCGCGTCTGCTGCGCCTGTGCGTGTGCCGCGCCCGGTAGAGTCCAGCCTGGGAGACAGTCCGTGGGAAGACGTCGTGCAGCCAGTGCAGCGCGGATCTTCCACGGCAGCCTTCAAAGACAAGCAGCCCAAGGAGACCGCGGAGGAGGGGAAAGAGGAATCCTTCAAGCAGGCTGTGCTTGCGACCCGTGAAAATCCGTCAAGCAGGTCTGCAGGCAGCTCCCCTGTCCATCCCGCCTCCCTTCCCACCGCTGCTCCAGCTGTTCCCGCTGTTCCCGCTCCTGCGCCTTCTCCTGCTGCCTCAGCTTCTCCCAGTCGCAGCAGTGGGTCAGCCACCCCTGCTGGTCAGTCGGAGCAGGAGAGCCGCAAGAGAAGCCTGTCGTTCGGCCTGAGCCACATCCGATCCGCTGCTGCAGCCGCTGCAGGATCCATCCTCACGCCCAGAGGCACCCCTAAAGCTAGCAGTAAGGACGCGGCAGCAGCAGGAGGAGCAGCAGTAGCTGGGCCGCCACACTCCCCCGCATCTGCGCGGCCTGGGCAGATTGAAGAAGGATCCCCGTTGAAGCAGAGGAAGGAGCAGGCAGCAGCAGCAGCAGGCGCCATAGGGGGGGGAGAGGTCCCCGAGTGGGAGGAGGAGGGGAGCGAGGGGGGAGAAGGAGGGTATGTAGAGCAGCTTCAGGGGAACGCTCCTTCTGCATCGGCGCTGCTGGCTCATCATCATCTGCCCCAGCAACAAGAGCAGCAGCAGCAGCAGCAGCAGCAGCAGCAGCAGCAGCAGCAGCAGCAGCAGCAGCAGCAGCAGCAGCAGCAGCAGCAGCAGCAGCCAACAGCTGGAACCGGGTCTGCAGCAGCGCCTGGGCCGCCCATGGCTCGGCGGCATGAGATGCTGGTGGACATGCCTGTGCCAGGCCTGTCTGATGTCGACGTGCCCTTCCGCAGGTACTTCCACGCACCAGAAGATCAGCCGCCACAGCAGCAGCAGCAGCAGCAGCAGCAGCAGCAACATGCGTCAGCAGCAGCGAAACCTGCCCCATCTGCTCCCCGTCCTTTGGCTGCCCGGCAGTCCGAGATGCTGGTGGACATGCCGGTGCCGCCCGTGGTGTGTTCCCTGGAGCCCACTGAGGCGGAGATCAAGCGCTACGCCGAGAGTGGGGTGACCTGGAGCGGACCCGCTGGGAAGGCGGGCGCGGGAGGAGGAGGAGCAGCGCAGCAGCAGCAGGAGCGGCAGGGTATGCAGCAGCAGCAGGGCGCGTTGCAGCAGCAACGGCGGAGGTCTCAAGAGGAGGAGGAGGATGAGGACAGCTTCGTTCCAGTGGAAGCCCCGTACGCGCACGGCGCATGGGCGAGTGGGTGTGCTGCGGAGAAGCTGTTCGGCGACGAGGTAGAGCTGCACCACGAGCATGGTCACGGTCACGGACAGGGCCATGGGCATGGGCATGGGCATGGGCATGGGCATGGGCATGGGCATGGGCATGGGCATGGGCATGGGCATGGGCATGGGCAGGGGCAGGGGCACCAGCATGGGCAGGAGCACGGGAAGGAGCATGGCGTGGGGCATGGGCAGGGCGTTGAGCAGGAGCATGGGCATGGGCAGATGCATGTGCCGACCTGGCCCAGCACGCATCACGAGCACCTGTACGCGCCTGTGCATGAGGATCGCACTATGGGACCCAGCGCACAGCACGAGCATGGACACGGCTTTCCACCCACGGGTGGTGGTGCAAGGAGGGGGGTGGCTGCGGCTGCTCCTGCTGCGGCTGCTTCCGGTACTGGAATAAGCAGCAGCCCTGCGAGTACCTACCACACTGCCGCGGCTGCTGCTGCTGCTGCTGCTGAAAGCCCTGCGAGTGCGTACGGCACACCTGCTGGCAGCAGGGAGGCGAGGTATCGCAGGGAGAGCAGTGGCAGCAACAGCTCCTATGTGGGCGGTGCTGGCAGCGGTGCTGCTGGTAATGGCAGTGGTGCTGCTGGTAGTGGCAGCGGTGGTGCTAAGAGTGGTGATCGTGCTGATGAGGGGGATCCTGAGGCGCATGGTGGCAGCAGGGCGAGTCAGGAAGGACGTGCTGTGGGGCGTGCGGGTGCACGTGCTGGTGCACGTGGTGCTGGTGAACGTGGTGCTAACAAATCCTCCCCCTGGCTGCATGCCTGCCGCCTGCATCTCTCCCACAAGCTCGGCTCGGGGGACTTCGGAGATACGTGGCAGGGCGTGGTTCGTGGAGACGTGACGATCAGCACTCACACAGCGACCAGCGCGGGCAGCAACAGCGGCGTAGGTTCCAGCAGCAGCAACCGCAGCGGTGGCCTCAGCGGTGGCGCCAGTGGTGGCACCAGCGGTGGCACCAGCGGCAGTACTCCTGGGTTCTCGAGCACCAGGGGGAGTGAAGCGAGTATGGAGGAGGCGGGGTTACAGTCAGCCTACGAGCATCCTGTAGCCGTGAAGGTTCTGCACTCGCTTCCCCGCCAGGCTCTCTCTCTCTCTGCTCCGCCGGCTGAACAGCTGGCCTTGCCTGGGGCAGCAAGGGCAGCAGCGGCAGTGGGCAGTAAGGAGAGGCTGGAGAAGCTGGTGATGGCGCTGAGAGGCTGTGAGGACGCTCTGGGAGGGCGCTTGCACCTGGCCACGTGCATGGATAAGGTAAGACTGGCTGTGAGTGGGAAGGAAACCTTTGAAGGGACTTGAAACCTGCACCTTCATAGCTGAAAGTGGGAATGAAGGTAAGTTGGCGTTCTTTTGTATTCAGGTCTCTCCTCTGCTGCTCACTTCTCCAATGGTCTCTCCTCTGCGTGCTGTGGGCTGGACCTTCATCCCCCTCGTGTCATGCAGGTGGCAGTGGTGTCGCCGCTCTTTGACAAGTCCATTGCTGACATGATGCAGAAGCTGCCAGGAAACCGCCTGCCGTTTCACCTCTTTCTCAGGTATGTCTGCTGGGAGGTGGAATTTCCATTCAGATTTAATCATAAAATACTCTTGCTCATTCTACTCTGCTCAGATGTGTATATCTGACATAATTAAAAAGTTCTGTAACCACCTTTCCTGTGGTTTAGCTTTCTTAACCGTATGCGTGCACATCTGTGCCTATCATCCGTCCACTGTCACAGGTACGGGGCAGCAGTCTGCAGGGCGGTGCAGCAGCTGCACGAGCAGGGCGTGCTGGCTCTGAACCTACGCCCTTCCAACTTCCTCCTCCCCTCCTTCCACGAGGATGATGCCGTCTTCCTCGCCCCGCCGGGCCTCCCATGGGCGCTTGCAGGTGAGATGAGAGGTGGTGCTGTGTGGGTGTGTGGGGTGAGAATGTGTGTGGGTTATTTTTTAGTCAACTGGAATAAACTTCTTCCTCCTGCCTTCCTTCCTTCCTCGAAGATGCTGTGTTCCTTGCTCCACCGGGCCTCCCATGGGCGCTCGCAGGTGAGATATGAGGTGGTGTGGGGTGTGGTGGGGAAGAGAATGTGTGTGCGCGAGAATGGAGGTGAGCTGAGAAGGGTTATCAAGTTGAAACTCGCCGTTTCTTCTAGAGGAGGTTGGCGTTTGAGTCAACTGATAAGTCAACGAGGAGGTTGAAGTTCCCAGGTGTACACGGACAAGCACGCTGTGCACGGCTCACACGCATAGGCAAAGTTCTTTCCAAGTGACCACTGCACCGTACCTGTTTCACCTGTTTGATCCGTCCGTCACCTGTTTGACCTACCGCCCTGCCTCCTCTCATCCCTCTCTGCCCTCCTGCAGACATGCATGCGGACCCGTTCTCTCCAATCCCCGAGCTGGCAGCAGCAGCTGGTGGAGCGAACGCGTCTCCCGTGTGGGCAGGAGTGCCGGCGTACATGGCACCAGAGCAGTGGGCGGCAGCAGTGAACGGGCCCCTACTGGAGGGCACTGACGCCTGGGGCTTCGCGTGCGCTGCCCTGCACATGATCTCAGGTATGGTCTCGTGGATGGAAGGGTAAAAGGGTGGAAGGTTGGATTGAGAGTGATTTTAGTGTGTTGTGCCTTGGACTGCCTGACTGCCTGCCTGCCTGCCTGCCTTGAGTGATTATAGGCTGATTTCTCCTACCTCCTTCCGCACCCGCACAGCCTATCCTCTTCCCTCATTCGCATCCCTGTACCCCATGAGTCTCTCTTCTCTTCTTCCGTTTCCCCCCCACTGCAGGTGTGCCCCCCTGCAACAACATGACACTGGAGCAGATGCATGACGTTGTCACTGCCCACGCGCCACACAACCGCCACCACTGCCGCCACCACAGGCGCATGGCAGACCACTGCAAGCGCTTCCCTCCCTCCTCCACCCCCTCCCCCTCCTCCTCTCCCGCTGTCTCCCCCGCCAAGACACCCACCTCCCTGCCGGCGTGTGTGTCGGCAGCGCATCTGGCAGCGCTGCAGCAGCTGCCACTGGAGCTGGAGGCGGTGCTGCTGCGCTGCTTCCACAGCGACCCTTACAAGCGCCCCTCGTTCCACACACTGCTCCGTGCCTTCACCCGGTCAGTACTTTTGCCTAACAAGTGGTTTCAGCTATGGGTTTCGCATGGCTTTTGTCACTTTAAATGTGAAGTAGGTTGTTTCTTGTTCCCTATTATACAGGAAAAGACTGTCTCCCCCTCATTCTAACCAGCATTCATTGAATATTTTTTCCTCTTTGTACCCCACCCTTTTCTCCTCCTCCAGTCCCACGAGCCAGTACCTCCCAGGTGACTGGGTGCGTGTGCCTGCTTCACCGTCCACCCCTCCCCACAAGCAGCAGCAGCAGAGGGTGGGAGTGGTGGTAGCAGTGCGGGTGGGAGAGGCAGTGGTGGCGGTACAGCTGTGTGACAAGCGCCCTGGCGACCTGGTGGCTTACCCATGCAAGAACGTGCTGGGAATCGTGGAGGTGAGTGTGCGGTTGATGTTGCAGGAACAGAGGTTATCATCATCTTCATATTCGTGTTTGATGTGGTGCGTTGTGTGCAGGAGCCTTTCCAATGTGGTGATCGCGTGCGCATTAAGAGGGGAGTGGGGAATCCACGATTCGGCTGGCGTGGAAACAGCAGGAGCAGGTAAACTGCAACAAAGACAACACTTTTTTTTTTCATATTTTTTGCATTGCTTAAATTTTCCTCCTTCCCCCACCCCCCTCTTTTTTCCCTAGCAGTGAGGGTGTGGTGACAGTGGTAGACGGCAGCGATGGTATGCTGGGCGTGCGGGTGGATACGCCTTCTCCCTCCTCTTCCTCCTCCTCTTCCTCTCCCACACCCTCCACCGCTCTCTGGCGAGTGGACCCAGCTGAAGCGGAGCGAGTGACTCACGGCATTGCAGTGGGGGACTGGGTGCACATCCTTGCACCAGACGCAGTTGCGCTCATCGCCTTCACCAGACGTGTCGCTGCAGCTCGTGCTGATGCCACTGCAGATTACAAGAATACCGGAGTCGTGCAACCGTTTGCCCACCCGTCCTTTCTGGTGGATGTTTCCCCAGAGACCCTCCCGCCTCTGGGGGTGGTGAAACGGGTGGTGGGGGAGGCAGTAGAAGTAGCCGTGGCAGGCGGAGAGGGGGTGATAGGAGGGTTGGAGCCGGCAAAAGGGGATGTGAGGCGTGTGGATGGGTACAGAGTGGGGCAGATGGTGCAGCTGAGGGAGGGGGTTGTGCCCCTGTATGGGTGGGCGTATCTCTGGTACCATCCGGGAGAGGAGGGTCATGCTGGCAAGAGGAATGGCCGGAAGCGAGTCGAGGGTCATGCTGGCAAGAGGAATGGCCGGAAGCGAGTCGCTGCTGCTCGGTAACGATGCCCTTCACATTCTGTGCTCGTTTGTTCCTCTTTTTCCTCTTCCCTCTTGATATTTCTTCAGAGGTTCACCAATATATCATACTTCTGCGCATCCCCCCCCCCCAATGCCTGACAGTATTGCGACAGTGCACCCAAATGGGTTTCTGACAGTGCATCTGCCGGGTGAGCTGTGGAACTCGTCCCGCCACTGGCTCGTGCATCCCGAGCATGTGCAGCCAGTGGGGTTGCGCTCCTGCAAGGGCCTGCAGAATAAGTGGGAGGTGAGTATTTGATCTTGAGAGTTTGTATCCATGATTGTCGTTTTTCCTGTTCGTATATTCTTAGATTTTCGTTTTCCTGTGTGTTTCATGTTGCAGTTACTAGGAGAAGTACACTGGTCGCTGCAGCCTCTCTCCTTCATCTCCTCCCTGTTTTTGATGTACCTAGCCTCTCGCTCCATCTCCATCCCCTTCATGCCTTCTCTGCTGCAATCTGCGAAAGAAATTGGTTCTGACTCTGCCGACGCTGCAGACCAGGCCACTGGTCATGCTCCACGTGGAGGTGCAACCCCAAGGTATGCTGCCAGGGGGGGATCTCCATCGCCCTTGAAGCTGTTCGGATGGGGTGGGAGGAAGGAGAAGGATGGCTCAGAGGATAATGGGAGCAGTGGAGGAGGGATGAGCAGCAGGTCAGATCAGGACAGCCGCAGCAATGCTGCTACTCCTGCTCCAGGGGGGAGTAGCAGGGCGGGTGGTAGTCGGGCTGGTGGTGGGGATAGTAGTAAGGCTGGCTCTGCTCGCGGAGGAAGTTTCACTGCTGCGAGTGGAGGAGGTGGTGGAGATAGTGGCAGGACGGGTGATGGATCCTTGGGAAATATATCTGTGCCCCATGGAGAGGGGAATGGGGGGTGGAACCCATTTGCGCCCAAGCCTGAGCCTACTTGGTTGCCTTCACCTCTAGCGCGGATGCTGCCAGAAGCTGTTGGAGGTAGACGCAGACGTGACGGTCAGTAGAGGAACAGACTGGCCGTTGTTGTGATAGCTAGAATGTAAATAGTGACTGGATGAATGAGTCTGTAGCAATGCTGGATAGAACCTTGTACATATGTGACTAGTTTTGAGAAATGTATTTCGTTTTGTTTGTTTATGACACTGGTGTCCACCAAATGTAAACATGCTAACAGAGGATGTTTACAATTCAACGACTTCCAAGGACTGTTAAAAACCGGAGGGTTAAGAAGCACGAAACTGGTTCAAGCTCCCTAAGGTTGGTTGGGTGTTACCCGGTTTCCAGCGGAGGCAAACTTTTGAAACACAAACCTGGTCTTGAACATTCGCCAAACTAGAACACTGTAGCAGCGACAAATGCCCAGTTGGATTTCATCGCACGGCACATCGCCCAACACCAACCTGCGTAAACATGAGGCACACAGGCAAGAGAAACTTGTCCCCAAAACGCTACTGATTATTCGCGAGTTCTAGGACCCACTATTAGACCCGCGTAGCCCGCCAACTAGCCAACATACCGACAAGCGGGCGCGCGCTAATCACGAATTACAAAAGGTATGGGATCTCAGAATAGGAATGCAACGGAATGGATGAAACTAGGAAGTGTGGAAGTACAAATATGCAACCCTAACAACTGTACTCCCTATTGTGCTACTCACTGTAGCCTACAAGCATACATTTGACACACCCCCATAGGCTAAGTGAGGGGCATCAAAGCAAGCAAGGTGAACAAACGGTCACAACACCAGTCAAAGCAAGAAACAAGGCAAGCTCAGGGTGGATCTCAAGGACACCACACAAATTCCGAGCGCAAGCAAGTGGCCACAAGGCCAGTTCAAGAGTTCACTAGGATATAAATAGGAAGCACAACAAGTAGAGCAAACAACAAGACTACAACAACCGAGGGCCTACCTCAACAAGCCCCAACTGCACACAGAACCTGTGGTGATCACCAAGCGCCAAGGCCTTGGTGAAGACGTCTGCAGTGTTGGCCTCTGAGGCCACAAAGTCCAGGCGTGCCTGGCCGCGTCGCTGCAGCTCTCGCAGAAGGAAGTACCTCACGTCAATATGCTTCACTCTGCTCTCCAGTCGAGGCTCTCGACACAGGAGGATCATGGCCTTGTTGTCAGCGTACAAGGTCGGTGCAGAGCGAGGCCGCTCACCAAGGTCGGCGAGCAAGAAGGTCAACCAGCGAAGCTCCTGTGCCGCCATGGCACCAGCGTAGATCTCTGCCTCTGCACTGGAAGTAGCCACAGACGACGACCGTGTAGACCTCCACGACACAGCACCAGCTCCCAGACTGAAGCAGTAACCCTGAGTCGAGCGCTGAGTCTCCACGTCGTCAGCGTAGGAAGAGTCGCAGTGACCAGTCAACGCCACTGGCTGAGTCCCTCCAAGCACAAGCCCCATGCCTGATGTAGTCGCCAAGTACTTCGCCACCCTCACAGCAGCTGTCCAGTGGACAGGGCGGTGTCTCCCAGTCGCAACAAAGCGAGAAAGGATGCTGAGGGGAAAGGCGAGGTCCGGTCGAGTACAAGTCATCAGGTACATGAGGCAGCCCACCAGCTCTGCGTAGGGTCCACTGGACTCGAAGGGCTCGTCAGGAAATGGGCCCGTGAGTCTGTGGTCAACAGCAAGAGGAGTGGGCTGTGTGGTGGAGAACTGGAAGTCGAACCGCCGAAGGACCTGCTGCACCATGTGTGACTGCGTCAGTGTGATGGTGCGAGCGGCTCTGTCCCGGGTGATCTGCAGGCCAAGGTAGCGCTGCAGCTCACCCAGGTCAGTGCACTTGTGTCTCTTCTGCAGTTCGGACTTCACCTGAGCCAGGGCTGCCCTGTCAGCTGTAGCAAACACCAAGTCGTCGACGTAGACAAGGATAAAGAAAGGAGTAGAACCCGCTCGAACAAACAGCGACGGGTCGGCGGAGGACGGGCTGAACCCAAGGTCACGAAGCGTGGAGCGAAGAGTGTCGTGCCACTCACGGGGCGACTGGCGGAGACCGTAGACTGGTCGCCTCAGGCTCCACTGGGTCCCAGGTGGGAAGGTGTCAGTGAAGCCAGGAGGACGGCGCAGCCAGATCTCCTCGTGCAGTCGGCCCTGGAGGAACGCAGTGGAGAAGTCGAGGGAGTGCAGCTCGTAGTCTCGCTGCGCTGCTATGTGGAGTAACACCCGAAGAGTAGTCATCTTCGGGGTCGGGGCGAAGGTCTGGAAGAAGTCAACTCCCTCACGCTGACTGAAGCCCCTAGCCACGTAGCGCGCCTTGAACACCGGCGGTGCTCCAGGCGGCCGCTTCACCTTGAAGAGCCACATGCCATCGACTACGTTCGCCCTGGGAGGGGGAACTGCGTCGACGTAGGTGCCTGTGGATCTCCAAGACGCCAACTCTGAGTCCATAGCCGCTTTCCACTGAGAGGCCCACGCCCCTGACACTGCCTCGCGGTAAGTGCGAGGAGTCGGTATGTCAAGGGCGTCGGGGTCTCCCTCAGGGGAGAGCAGCATGTCACACACAGAGGGAGAAGCGGCTGCCCAGTACTCCAGCTCAGACTCTCTGTCCTCTAGGACGTCACAGCCAAGGGCAAACCCACCCCCAACGGACAGAGGACGGTAGGGAGGAGCTGGCACCACTCGGGTGGCGTAGTCAAGGCGGCTGGCGGCAGCAAACTCAGCGACAGCGGCAGTAAGAGCCGAGGCAGACGACGGAGGGAAACGAGAGTCAGTGACAAGAGTGGCGAGGACACGTGCGGCAACAGGACGAACAGTGCGGTAGTAGTCAGTTATAGGAGTGGGGAGGGCTGGGAGAGAGGACGGAGGAGGAGACGGGAGAACGGACACAGGAGAACAAGAACGACGACTGGACGAACAAAAGAGGGCAGTGTGGAGGTCAGTAACAGGGGACGAGTGACGAGCACGCGGAGGACAACGAGTGATCAAGTCGTGACGGACAGAGTGAGGAGGAGACCGAGGAGGAGGAGAAGACCAGACCGCCGGACGGTCGTCAGGAGGAGGCAACGGAGGAACAAACACAGGAGGAGACTGGGAGCGGACAGGAGGAGAGGAGGAAAGGCCAAGGGCCCGCAGGCCACTCACAGGTGGGAACAACTGCCGCTCCAGAGGAAGCTGCGGTGGCGGCTGCTGCTGCTGCTGCAACGGTGACTGCGGCCGCTGCTGCTGCGGCTGCGGCTGCTGCTGCTGCGGCTGCGGCTGCTGCTGCTGCTGCTGCCGCTGCTGCTCCAGAAGGTCCAGCACCCGCAGCTCCTGCCGCTCCCTCTCCAACCGCTCCTGCTCCTCACGCTCACGCCGACGGGCAGCCTGGAGACGCGTGTCGTGGCGGTGGGGAGGCGGAGTGGACTCTGCAGAACCAGGGTCTCCAGCGTCAGTCTCCTCAGACTCAGCACCCCCAGAACCAGCACCTCCAGTGCCAGGACCTCCAACTCCAGCACCCCCAGAACTAGCACCGCCAGTGCCAGCACCGCCAACTCCAGCACCCCCAGAACTAGCACCTCCAGTGCCAGCACCTCCAGCTCCAGCACCCCCAGAGTCAGCGCCACCTGCGCCAGCACCTCCAGCTCCAGCACCCCGCGACCGAGCACCCCCAGACCGAGCACCGCCAGCGGCTGCACCTCCAGCTCCAACACCAACCGAGTCCACAGTAACCTGTCGCGGAAGTGCCGAAGGCTGCTGAGGGGACTGTGAGGAGGACTGCGGGGAGGGAGACGCTACCTGACGCGCGACCGAGGGTAGAGGGGTAGCGTGAGACACACCAGACGGGGCAGGACCAGGGGGGGGCGGGGGTACCGGAGGAGCAGGAGCAGGAGGAGGAGAGGGTGCTAGGAACAGGGGGGGAGGGGGTACCGGGAGACCTCGACAGGGGTACCGGGTGTAGTAGGACACAGACTCGTCAAACCGGACGTCACGGGAGTCTAGGAACTGGTGGAGGGGCGGGTGGTAAAAAGACCAGTCGGCAGAGTCCACTGGGAAACCAAGGAAGACACAGGGGACGGCGTGTGCCGAGAGCTTGTCCGCGGAGGTGTCGCGAACAAGTGCAAGGCAGCCCCAGACTCGAAAGGCCGACCCAACACCAGGGGAACCAGTCCAAAGACTGGTCGGTGAAGCCTCGGGCCGCGAGATACGCGGCTGGAGGTTCAGCTGGTGTGCGGCGTAGCGAACCGCGTGAGGCCACAGAAAATGGGGCGCACGGGCATGGATCATTGACGTGCGGGCGATGTCCATGACCAAGCCTATGCGGCGCTCAGCAACCCCATTCTGCTGTGGGGACTCTGGCAGCGTCCAGGACTGGGTGATGCCCTGTTCGCCGCAGAATCCGCCGAGAATGCCGGAGCGAAACTCGCCCCCACGGTCGGAGTGAAGACAACTGACTCGACGACCACGAGTGCCCTCAGTGGCTAGAAGCCACCTGATCAGCGTAGCAGTCACCTCGGACTTCTTCGCAAGAGGGAACACGGTGGTGTACCTGGAGTAGTCGTCGACGACCACCAGAAAGTAACGCTCTCTCCCAGACCCCTGCGTCGGGGCAGGGCCCCAGACGTCCAAGTGGAGAGTCTCGAAGGGAGCGGTGGCCGGACGAAGGGAGGAGGAGTGGGGAGTGGCGCGTAAGCGACCGGCGACGCACAGAGAGCAAGGAGGGGCAAGCGAGAGAGGGAGCGACGGGAAGGTGCGTGGGAGACCTGTGACAAGTCCCTGACTGAGCATGCCACGAAGGCGAGGGATCGACGGGTGGCCAAGGCGGTGGTGCCACAGGACGGTGCGGTGGGCAAGAGAGCGACAGGAGCAAGACGCAGCGACTGGACTGGACACAGCGACCGGACTGGACACGACTACCTGGCTAGACACAGCAACTGGACTGGGGACCTGGGCCGGAGGGGACGCAGCGACCTGAGGGGAGGACGCGACCGGGGAGCGCTCGGTGTGGAGAACGTAGAGACCGGAGCGGGGCTCCCTGGTGAAAGTGGCCAGAACAGCACCTGTGGTAGCGTCAGTACAGACTGCAGTCCGCCCACCCCCCACGAAGGTAACCGTGATCCCCCTGTCCTGGAGGTATCCAACACCCACCAAGTTCCGAGTGAACGAGGGGATGTGGAGGCCGCGCAGGACACCAGAGGGGACCACAGGGCACGGGAGGGTGGTGGAGCTACGCGCAACGGCTGGTCCAGAGGTAGGATCAGCCAGAGCCACCGACACAGGGGTGAGGAGTGGCGTAAGGGTCGTGTGGTCGCGGAAGAAGCACTGAGACGCGCCCGAGTCCAGCGTGAACGACAGAGAGGCCTCAGCCGGAGGGTCACCTGACCCAGTCGCTACACAAGCACCTAGAGCAGCAACACAAGCACCTAAGCTAGACAGGCACAAGGCTACACTAGCAGGAGGCAAGCAGGCTAACCTACGAACACGCGAGCACAGAGACCCATCAGCACTAAAGTCAGCATCAACATACAAAGCATGCTGACGCGCATCGTCCATGGACAGATCAAAGACATCAATCTTACGGGCTAACAGGCGAGACCAGCGAGGCGTGACCGCCAGAGGGCCCCAACGAGCCCGGTAGAGGTCGTCGAGGCGGCGGAAGCACCGCGCGGCAGAGTGGTCGTCGCGACCACAGAGACAGGGGCTGCCCGGCCCGGTGAGGCACCAGTGGGTGCAGGGGCCAGCGTCACGGCGAGGGGGGCGAGGGGCCCAGCTGGAAGAGCTGCTGCTGCGGCCGGTGCTCCCAGGGCCTCCCGGACCCCACTGCGGCGGAGGACCCCAGTGCTGCTGCGGACCCCACTGCAGCGGGGGCCCCCACTGCTGGAACTGCTGCGGTGCCTGCTGCTGCTGCTGTCCCTGCTGCTGCTGCTGTCCCTGCTGTGGCTGGTGCTGCTGTGGCTGCTGCTGCTGGGGGACAACGCCCCCACCGGTCGGGCCACCACCTGGGGGTGGGCCTGTCTGTCCTGCACCTCCTCCAAGGCCCCCTCCCCCTGGCGCACCACCGCTGCCGCCTCCGCCGCCGCCTCCGCCACCACCGCCGCTCCCACCTCCACCGCCACCTCCACCGCCCCCACCTCCCCCCTTCCCGCCCTTCTTGCCACTCTTGCCCCGTTTCTGCCAGTCTGCAGCAGAAACGGCAGCGGTGTCCTCAGAGACCGACACAACAGCAGAAGCGCGGGTAGAGGTGAAAGTGGGAAGCTGAGGGGCGGCACACCCCGCAAAGAGACGGGGGGCCACCGCATCAGTGGCGGAGGCAACGGTGAGGAGGCTGCTCTCGATGGTCCCGAGAGCAGTCTGAAGGAGGTCTATAGTGAGCTCAGTGGGGTGCTTCTGAAGAAGCGCGTCGCGGGCAGTGGCAAGGCGGTCAGGGAGGCGGGTGACTAACCAGTGCACAGTGAGCCACATGGGGGGGGGAGCAACAAGGAGCTGTGCGTCGGTACAGGCTGAACGAAAACCGGCGTCAAGCGAGCGGAGGTGAGTCACTAGGTCGGAAACAGTCGCAAACGAGCCTAGGTCGGGAAACACGAACGGCATGAGGAGGCGACTGAGGGAGGCGGAGGAGGGGGTGGAATAGCGAGCCACAATAGCATCCCAAACCCCCTTGGCTGTCTCCACCTGGTCAAAGTGAGCGGCCTCAGTCGGGGGGAGAAGCTCCGATAGCGTCAGGGCGGCGGCCGCGTCACGAGAGAGCCACACGTCCCGAGCCAGGACCCGACGGTCGTAGTCCGCCTGGGCCGTAGGAGTGGGCTCCGGGGCGGTCGGCAGGGCGGCGGGGGACGGGGGTGCCGCGAGAGCACCCGACGCGTGGGCCCACAGAGTGGCGCCGTCCTGACGCTGGCTGGTGAGGAAACGTGTGGTCTGGCGCTGCCAGGTACCAAACTCGATCGGGCGTCCCTCAGCATCGAAACGGAGGCGACGAGCCTCCATAGCGGAGCCCATGTTAGAGGCGACTGGAGCACGGCGGAGGCGAAGCTAAGAACGAGGAGGAAAACTACGGAGGGCTAGGGACGCCAGCGGGGAAAACGACGAGAGACAGTCGGCGAGAAAATAGTCGTGGGGCGGGGCTCTAACCGAACCTAGGTGGCGCTACCAGAGGGAAGAGCGGCTGCCAGCCGCTGAGCCGGGAGCCAAGTGCAGTAGGAATGGCGTGGGACCGGTGCACAGATGAAGGGGAGAGAGATGCAGTAAGCGCACAGAGTGATGCGGTAAGCGCACGCAGGTGTGCGGTAAGTGCACGCAGGTGTGCGGTAAGGGCACGCAGGTGTGCGGGAAGCGCACGCAGGTGTGCGGGAAGCGCACACAGAGTGATGCGGTAAGGGCACGCAGGTGTGCGGGGAGTGCACGCAGGTGTGCGGGAAGCGCACACAGAGTGATGCGGTAATTGCACGCAGGTGTGCGGTAAGCGCACGCAGGTGTGCGGTAAGCGCACGCTGGTGTGCGGGAAGCGTTGACGGAGGAGGGCGCGCGACAGGCGGAGGGGAGGGCACGCGACGATCTAAGGAGGGCGCGCGACGGTTGAGGAGGGCGCGCGACGACGAGGGAGGGCGCGCGGCGGTCTAAGGAGGGCGCACGACGGTTTTGGAGGGCGCGCAACGGTGGGGGAGGGCGCGCGGAGGTCTAAGGAGGGCGCGCGACAGGCTGGACGGCGCGGGAGGGCGCGGGCTAGGCGCGAGGAGGGCGCGGAGGGCGCGGAGGGCGCGGAGGGCGCGAGAGCACGGAGGGCGCGTAGGGCGTGGAGGCTAGTTAAAAAAAATGAACGAGGATCTAACCTACTCGTGATACCATCTCAGAATAGGAATGCAACGGAATGGATGAAACTAGGAAGTGTGGAAGTACAAATATGCAACCCTAACAACTGTACTCCCTATTGTGCTACTCACTGTAGCCTACAAGCATAGAATTACATTTGACATGGGAGAGCTAAAGTCGCGGAAACCGACATTACCGGAAATGTAGTTGTGCGTTGTGACGTTAGCAGACCGATGGCCACGATTCGACCTGCAGAGCTATGCGACGTCGCATTTAGGTCACGATTTGCATTGCAGGGCAACGCGACGGCGACATTAGGTCACGATTTGCCCTGCAGGGCAACGCGACGGCGACATTAGGTCACGTTTTGGCCGGCAGGGCAACGCGACGGCGACATTAGGTCACGATTTGCCCTGCAAAGGCAATGCGACCTACAAACCGGCGGAGGTGCATGGGCTGGGGGGATCGCGTGGGCAGGGATCGCGTGGGCAGGGGGGATCGCGTGGGCAGGCGAAAGCACCTGGCTCACCTCCGCCTCTCTCACGCTCCGCCTCTCTCACGCTTCGCCTCTCTCACACTCCGCCTCTCTCACCCTCCGCCTCTCTCACCCTCCGCCTCTCTCACCCTCCGCCTCTCTCACCCTCCGCTTCTCTCACCCTCCACCTCTCTCATCCTCAGCCTCTCTCATCCTCCGCTTCTCTCACCCTCCGCCTCTCTCACCCTCCGCCTCTCTCACCCTCCGCCTCTCTCACCCTCCGCTTCTCTCACCCTCCGCTTCTCTCACCCTCCGCCTCTCTCACCTGCGCCTCTCTCACCCTCCGCTTCTCTCACCCTCCGCTTCTCTCATCCTCCGCCTCTCTCATCCTCCGCCTCTCTCATCCTCCGCCTCTCTCATCCTCCGCTTCTCTCACCCTCCGCCTCTCTCACCCTCCGCTTCTCTCACCCTCCGCCTCTCTCACCCTCCGCCTCTCTCACCCTCCGCCTCTCTCACCCTCCGCTCTCTCACCCTCCGCTTCTCTCACCCTCCGCTTCTCTCACCCTCCGCCTCTCTCACCTGCGCCTCTCTCACCCTCCGCTTCTCTCACCCTCCGCCTCTCTCATCCTCCGCTTCTCTCACCCTCCGCCTCTCTCACCCTCCGCCTCTCTCACCCTCCGCCTCTCTCACCCTCCGCCTCTCTCATGGGGAGATGCATCGACAGGGGGGTAGCTTGGGTATGGGGAGATGCATCGACAGGGGGGTAGCTTGGGTATGGGGAGATGCGTCGACAGGGGGGTTGCTTTGGTATGGTACCGATGCATCGACAGGGGGGTTGCTTGGGGATGGGGAGATGCATCGACAGGAGGGTTGCTTGGGTATGGGGAGATGCATCGACAGGGGGGTTGCTTGGGGATGGGGAGATGCATCGACAGGAGGGTTGCTTGGGTATGGGGAGATGCATCTACAGGGGGGTAGCTTGGGTATGGGTAGATGCATCGACAGGGTAGATGCGTCGTCCTCCCTCCCTTTCTCCCGTCCCCTTCCTGCCATTCTCCCATCTCCTCATCCTCTCTCGATCCTGTCCCCCTTCCCCTTCCCATCTCCCACCCTCCTACTCCCTTCCTCTCATCCTCCCATCCTCCCTTTTTTTCCTTCCTCCCTCCCTTCCACCCATCTACCCAACGTCGTCCTCTCCCACCCCCTTCCTTTCTTCATCTATTCCCTCTCCCAATTCTCTGGCTCAGTGCCTTTCCCCGCTCTCTCCCCCCTTACAACCACTCTTCATCTCCCCCCCCCTTCCGCCCTTCCTCTGTGTCCCCCTTGCTCATTTTCTCCCTCCGTGCATTCCTTGTTCCCTACCGCTGTTGCCCTTCCATTGTCATTGTTTTGTATCCTTCCCCGCCACTTCAACTTTGACACATCCGAGTTGTGGTTCGTGTGTGTGCAGGTCTGCCATGCATCCAGTTGTGATGTGTTTGTTGTTTGATGATAGTGGTACCGTATGACAAATAGCTGTCATATATTGATGTTGGATGCTTCTCATAATGCACAGCTTTGTGTTTTGGAGCAGAAATGAACATGACCATTACAAGGAAGTGCAACAAAGCAAGCTATATTTCCAAAGAGGTTTCCAAGAGTGGACTAAGGCACATGCACAAAGCTAGGAGGTGGAACATTTCAATCCACTCCTGTCAGGCCACGACCCATGGTGCTGGGCACCTGTACAAGCATGGTTCTGTGATGGAACAGGGGAAGAGGGGATATGGCAGAATAAGCGAGGGGTGGAGGTGGAGGTACAGAAGGGCATGTATGGGAGGAGTGGACAAGGCAGAGGGGTGAGCAAAGGGGGAAAGGGAGTGAGCAGGGTGGAGAAGGGGGTGAGCAAAAGGGGAAAGAGAGTGAGCAGGGTGGAGAAGGGGGTGAGCAAAAGGGGAGAGAGAGTGAGCAGGGTGGAAAAGGGGGTGAGCAAAGGAGAAAGCAAGTAAGCAAGGGCTAAGGAGGGGTGCGAACAGGGGAAATGAGAGGACTTGGGGGTGGAAAAGGGTTGAACGAAGGGGAATAGAGAGTAAACAGGGGGAGAGATGGGTGAGTACAGGGGGAAAAGGAGGGTTGGCATGGGGGAAAGGGAGGATTATTGGAAGGAAAGGGCGAGGAAGAGTGGGGGAAAGGACAGGGGGGGAGTGGGGGAATGGACAGGTGGGGTGTGGGGGAAAGGCCCGGGGGGAGTGGGGGAAAGGATGAGGGGGAGAGACGATGACATGGTTCGCACGAAGAGGCGTGTTGGGAGCGTAGGGCATGCACGGTCGAAAAGGCGGTGTGGCCCTGGAGGAGTGGGGAAAGTTTCAGAGGGGAAGTTGGGGATTGGACGGGGGGAAGTGGGGGAGAGGCCCGGGGGAGTGCGGGGAGGGACGAGGTGGAGTGGGGGAAAGAGAGGGTAGGAGCGGGGGAGAGGGGGGGTAGGATTGGGGGAAAGGGGGGGTGTTAGTTGGGGAAAGACAGGGCAGCAGTGCGGGAAAGGGAGGTGCGTGGGGGAAGCGGAGGGTTGGCGTTGGTGAAAGGGAGGATTACTGTGTGGGAAAAGGGTGAGGGAGAGTGGGGTATTGGACGGGGAGGAGTGGGGGAATGGACGGGTGGGATTGGGGGACGGGTGGAACATTTCAACCCCTCACGGGTGGGTGTCGGGGAAGGAAATGGGAGCGGGGGACCAGGGAAGATTACTGTGTGGGAAAAGGGCGAGGGAGAGTGGGGTGTTGGAAGGGGAGAAATGGGGGGCAGTGGGGGACTGGACGCGGGGGGGAGGGGGCTGGGGCGGGTGGATGTCGGGGAAGGAAATGGGAACGAGAGAGGGGTTAATGGCAGGGGGGACGGGAAGGGGTTGGAAGCGTGCGGTGAAACAGAGTGACCCGGGGAGGTGAGCATGAGCAGGGGAGACAGAGTTCGCCGGAGAGATCAAGGTGTGTGAGGGTGTTACTGCTGCTCGTAACCACTTCAGCTCGCAGGGCAGGTTGTGAGTGCGTGGAGGGGGAGTAGAGTGCGATGGAGAGTGGTGAGGAGCTTCCATACCGTGTGGGGACAGGAGTGGGCGAGGTGTAACACAAGGGCGTCAGGGTCAGCAGCAGTAGAGAGGTGGTGGTGTGTGAGGGATACTGCTGCTTGTGAGAGAGCCTGGTGGAGGGCGGTGAGGATGAGCATGAGGGGGGTGAGAAGCCAATGGTAAGAAGGGGGCAGTGGGAGAGGTGGAGGACGGTGGGGTATTATTTAGTCACAAGAGCTAGGCAAGAGGAAACTAGGATCGCGGTCATTCCCGATAAAGTATGTGCGCTAAGGATCTCGCGCCGTGGTCAGAACGCACCTGCACATCGAGGCAGAGAAGTGCTACGATGGCATCAATGTCGCAGCCACAGGCGACGAGCGCGGTTGTGTACTTCTCCGTCTCTTTCTTGGAGTTTGCAATGTTTAGCTGGGTCGATTGGGTTTTGGTACTTGCACAGAGTGACGAGAATAAGTACGAAGTATGAGAACCGCCTTACTTATCTAGTGGAGACGGGGTGCTGGACAAGGTTGCTTGGATGAGTGGTGTTGTTCTCGCATGTCGCATTAGGTTTTTGGCGACGTGGTGGTTGGGGGTGTTGAGGTCGCATTCGGACTCGGGTAACCTTGGCGAGGTTGCCCTGGTCCGCGAACATCGTTTGTTATTTTCTACACTTCCTGTGTTCGCGGGCCTATCGCTATTCCTGAACCCAATCAACCTTCCTAAGGTTGAAGTTCTTGGCCCGCGGGTTTTAACTCCCTGTCGAAACAACGTTGACCACATCTACCTCTAAAGCCGGAACCAGAGACTGGATAATTTACCTTTTCAACGACTGCAAACTCATTGCGAGTCTACGCCATAAGCACCTCCAAAAGCGGAGGGGTAATGTTATTATTCAACGGCTGCAAACACACTGTCGAGTCTACGTCGACCATAAGCACCTCTAAAGACGGAAACCATGAGAAGGGGATAATGATTCAATACGCGTAAACATTTACAATGGAAGGTAATTCTTTTCAAACTAAAAAAAAGAACCTAAGCACGCTCGCCGCGAATACGCCTAGCGAGTTGAATATCCTTAGGCATGATTGTGACACGCTTCGCGTGGATGGCGCACAGGTTGGTGTCTTCAAACAGACCAACAAGGTAAGCCTCAGCTGCCTCCTGCAGAGCCATCACCGCGGAACTCTGAAACCTCAGGTCTGTCTTGAAGTCTTGAGCAATTTCACGCACTAGCCGCTGGAAGGGGAGCTTGCGAATCAAAAGCTCTGTCGACTTCTGGTACTTGCGGATCTCACGAAGAGCCACTGTTCCGGGACGGTAGCGGTGAGGTTTCTTCACGCCGCCAGTGGCGGGAGCTGACTTCCTGGCAGCCTTGGTGGCGAGTTGCTTGCGAGGAGCCTTACCTCCTGTTGACTTACGAGCGGTCTGCTTGGTACGAGCCATTTCTTTGAAACAATGAAGCCGAAACGGATCACAGCGAACGTGGAAGAGCTAGAGAGCAAGTTCTGAGAGCCGGAAAAGATGCGAGAGAGAGTCGAGTGCTTGAGCGAGAAAACTGGATGAAGAAATGAATGGATGAAAGCGTCTTTTTGAAGGCAGTGAGGCCTCCATTGAGTAATGCTGCAATGCTGTAGCTTCGCTTCCCCGCCAACCGCACGCGGTGTGATTTGAAACACCGAAGTTCCGAAAACAACCAAATGATCGACGACAATCCCAACCGTTCAAACAAAACACATCGCGTGAGTTCCGCTTTCGATGCATTTTGATTGGCCGTAAGCTGAATTCCGGATCGATTGAATCCTCTCACAAACTCCGAGGTCTGTACACCTTAGTACTCGAAGGAAAGATGTGACGCGACAACAAAATATGTAGGCATGAAACTTATACATTATGTTTTGTAATGGTAATGGACATACCGTTGATTCAAGAACCCCAAATAAAATTCGTTAAAAGCACAATCATATAAGATATTACGTTTTACCACAAAACCGAGGGTTTTGTTTGTACATACATATAATGTAGCATAAGAGTTTGATCTGGATGTTTAAATTGCTTTTTTCCAGCATACTCGTCATCGCTCGGGTATAAGTCAGTGTCGAATTGAAGACAGGGGGTGTCTTTTAAAACGGGTGTATCTTATAGATGGGTGTTCCTGGTTATAAGACACCTGTCGGTGTGTACGAGTTAAGCAAGTGTAGGGGTTAGGGGCAACCTTATGACGAGGGGGCAGGGCCCTCGCTAGTCTCTGAACCCCCCTGAGGCGTCAAACGGGCCCTTCGGGCCCGTCTGACTGGTCAGAAAATTTTCACGCCCCTGTCTTTCGCATCAGAAATTCTAACATTACTTGGCTTAAAAATCAGATTTTGTAACCCGTCCCTACTGTAACTACAACTACTACTCAGCTATTCTCTACAAAGAAAACATATCAAGAATAACTATCTAGCTATCTGAGTCAGAGTCAGATGCCTCATTGTCACTCAGTGTAACAGTTGCACGCACATCCACTCCTTCATCCTCACTGTCGCTATCTACTATGTGAGTTTTGGCTTTCTTCCTCTTGGCTTCTCCGTCGTCATTGGACGGCGCTTTCTGAGCTGTCGTGTTAGGTGCTAGATCCTCCCTGTCTCCCTGCCTCCCTGCCGCTTCCGTCTCTGCCTCCCTGCGCTTCGCAGTTGCCACTCCACTGACTTCTTTGGCAGGGCGCCTCTTCTTTGCCCCGCGCCACAGCTTCACCACGTTGTCCCAGTCTGGTTCGTAGTCAAGCAGGGAGATGCACATGAGGTCGGAGAGTCGCGCATTGCAGAGGTTGTTCCTGAGCCACGACTTGATTACGTTTTGGCGACTGAACCCTCGCTCGCACTCCACAGTGCTGAGCGGAAGAACAGCCACTGCCACCCAAAGTCGAACCAGATTGGGGAAAGAAGACTCCCAATCCCCGCTCCTGAGCATGTTCTTAAGTGCCACGTGGAAGGATTGATCCTTGTACTGTGACACCATCACGCGGGTGAAACGTGGAAGCTCCCGCTCGGCCTTCTTCCAGTTGACTCCTGCAAGCACACAGCACATCTAGTTAGCATCCCACTATGTAGACGGATCGTTACACAAACAAGGGATTAGGGACAACGCGGAATTTGAAAACACGTACCTGGCAGAGCGCACTGCTCGGCGTTAAACATCTTGCGAAGGGAGCTGAACCACTCCGCGCACAGACGGTCGCGCTTGTTCACGCCATCCGGATAGGCGTCTGGCAGAAATAGCTTGGACCCAACGAGGGACTTCAAGCTTCGCATGCGGTACTGTAGCCTGCCGATCACCTCCTTCGCAAACAGGGTGGCGAGGGACACGCAGGACTCGACGTCACCCGAGGGATCCTCTTTCTTCTTCGCATCCAGCTCGTGCAGCTTGAAGGTGTGTTTGACGGCGTTGCCGTCTCCATCCATCCCCTCCACCTGGACCACCCGCTTGGACGGATGGGAGTGCGCTTCGAGGAAGGCAGTGAGGTGCTCGCTGTCCTCCGCGAAGTTCACCCCGTACTCCACATAGCGCGCGTTCAACTTCTCGCAGGTGTTTTGCACCTGCCCCATGACACGGGTGATGTCCACCTGCGACATCACGCACAAACACAATGTTAATCACTGACATTCGGGACTAGAGCGAATTTCAAAATCGGCGACCGTTAATTACACGCTCACCGATCGTCGCTGAAACCGCTTGTTGAGCTCGTTCAATTCCTTCAGGACACCAGCGAGAAAAAAAAAGAAAGAAATGAAATTTGAGGCTCGTAACCAGGTGATACGTCATGCTGTCTTTCTCGTGGAGCAGCACTATGGCAGCCGGCAGAACAGCGACAAGTCTCGAAACAGCATCGCCCCGCGACAGCCAGCGAACATCGAAAATCCCCTGCATCTCCAAGTTCGTGGCGTGAATCACGGTTTGCAGCTCGTGGAACCTCTGGTGGACGACGCAGCTTCCGCCAATGAGGGTCGCGATGGCGCGGATCCCTTGGTCGACGATGTTGAAGGCGGGGATGTTCGTCGCGGCATCCTTGGCTGCGAGAGCCTCTCTGTTAGATGATGGAAAAAAAAACCAAGTGAGTAGGGGGGGATGTATCTGACAACAATACTGCAAAATTTGAAGTGCAAAATACCTCACCGGTGAGCAAGGCAATGACACGCGACAAGATGCGGAACTCGCATCTTCAGCTGAACCACCAGCCCATTCTGACTGCCCAGCATGACGTTCGCGCCATCCGTGCTGATGCCGGAGATCTTGTGCATGTCAACCCCGTTGCAGTCCAGATGCGCCAGCAAGACGGCGAGCAGAGATGAAGCGTCGCCCTTCTCCACGGTTAGGTGCCCGAAAAGCTCGGTCACCGCCTTCTCCTCCTTCATGAAGGTTAGGTAGACGATGAGATGCTTGCCCTTCCTCCGATCAGTCGACTCGTCGAGCTGAATCCCGAGAAAGGGCGACTCTTGGATGTATCGCATCTGACGGGCCTTCAGGTGCTGCACCATGGCTTCGGTCATCTCCCGAAACCCATATCTGCCATAATGAAAAGCACGACAATAAGTCAATGATGATGAGTACCTAAACATCACATCACGTTGCATTACTCACTCTGTCTGGTAGGTGCCGATGGCCTTGTCGGGAATGTTGGGGGTCTTCAGAACGTGTAGCAGGTGCACAAGGCCAACAAAGAGCGCAATAGGTGCATCCGACTTGCATATGAAAAGCACCACTAATAGAAGTTGTTTCAAACGCTCAATCTCCCCCACCCCGTCCTCATACTCATCAATCCCTCGTTGAGCAACTTTACCTCCTTCGGCTCGGGCTTTACGATCGAGGGCGTCCTGATGCTTGCGACTCAGACCATGCTTGCGCATGGTCTGCTTCTGGATGTCCACGCCACCCTCGCCCGCCTTGCCGTACTGCCAGTGTGGCGGTCCGTATCTGATGCAGACACTGCACTTCATGCACGGGCGACCATCCTTCCTTTGTGATATCAGCAGCCAGGGGAAACGACGTTGCCAGATGTCGGTGCACTTCTTCTTCAGTTCTTCGAGAAGCGCGTCAGGATCCGGAACCAAAATAGACGGCCTGGACGGCCCTGGATCCGAAGGCACCCTGCTCGTGCCAGTCGCTGGAGTCAGCGGAGTAGCAGCAGCTGCGGGAGAGGGCGACCTTCCTTGCGTGAGGCGCACATGAGGTACGCGAGTTCGAGCAAACCGAATAGTCGATTGAGTGAACTTCCCGAACTTCGGGAACCGGGAGACGCCTGCGCTTCGGACAGCACTGACCGTGGGAGTTGCGACGCGCCCGGTCGCTCTAGTGGGCGACTCTTCCACAGGCGGATCGCTCAGCTGTTGCCGCTGATTAAAATCCGGCCAGGGCTCCGTGCTTGCCGTTGGTTCGTTGTTGGTAACTGGGGGCTGCACAGGCGGATCTCTTTCAGGCGTGGCGGTAGGCGGACCGCCTCTCAGAAAGTCGAGACCAGTAAGTGGACGATGCGACCTAGCAGGGTCATCATCGTCCCTACAATCCATGGCTACAGGGCCCTAGGAGGATGTTGTCAAGACGGTAGAGAGAGCAGGGGAAAGAATTCCCCTGTGCTAGCGAGTGAAAGGAGCGTTGGAGAGGGAGGGGGAGCCAGCCGAGCATTATCAGCTGAACGAGGTGCATGCATGATCTTACAACGCACCGCGGTGCCCCACTCCATCCTTCGTCCAGCGGGACGTTGGGCAACAGTCGGTGCGAGTCGCGCGAGGCTCTGCAATCCACACAACTCATGCGCTGGCATGAAAGTGGACCAGTAACAGAAAGACTTGCTCCACTTTCGTCTCAATGTGGCCCAAGTTGGCCAGACGTGCGCCAGATTGCCAGCACTTGACTTCTGTCAGTGCGCTCCGCTGCGCTGTCACCGCAATCACGCATACAGGTCTACTGATCGTGCTGTGATTGGCGCAGCTAACCCATATCACGCGTCAATCACGGCAGACTGTATAAAAGTCGGTTTCAGACGGAACTGATACAAGTGCCTGGAAAATAAGAGGAATAGCTACACGCACGTCTTTTTCATCAGACAAAATGGGAATCTCATATCTTATTCATCAGATTTCCCAAACGTTCCATTTCTTAAAAATCAGATTACGTAAAAAAAATCCGTCTTATTCCTCAGAAAAACAGACAAAAATGTCTGATAGCGAGGGCCCTGCGAGGGGGTATCTTCTAAGCGGTTTTTTGTCCATTTATAAGAATTATAAGACACCGTCCTAATGTATAAGATAAGACATATATGTCTTCTATCCGGGCGATGACGGTACGCGTTCAAGAGAGTCTGACTACACATTATACAGAAGTTATCGCAAGCATTACAACAAAAAAAGAACAGCGCACTACACTCTACAAACTGGCAACATGAGTCACGCACAGTGCTGTTAAAATACAGTTCACAAACAAGTGATGCCTGCGCCGCCACCAGCCACATAACCTTGTGAACAAATCACCTGACCAGTTAGCACTCCAAGCATTATTAAGTACAGCTGCATGTGCTTTCAACTTCTGCCCAACATCCGTTTCTCGCCAGTAGCAAAATCCCCACGCGTAAGAAGCAACCTCACATCCAGCAACCTCACTGCCCTCACCACTACCGGTAGTACCATCCCTCCAATCCTGTCCAAAATCACCCAAATTACAACCCCCATCTCCATCCCCCAAATAAAACTTCCTGATTCTCCCTAGCTTTGCCTCGCCTCGCCTCGCCTCGCCACTCCTCGCCTCATCACCGGCTGGCCCAGCCCACGCTGTCGATCTCGGACCGCGCCCGTCGGAGCAGCTCGAGGCGCTTGCTGAGGGCCTGTCTGCGCGCCATGAGCGCGGGGTCCTCGTCCAGCAGCTTCGACAGCTGCTTGCCCTCCTCGTTGCCCACCTGCGTGTAGAACGCGTCCAGCAGCGTGCGCTTCGCCTCCCGCACCTGCATGCGGAGGGTGAGGAGCGAGCAGCCAGAGGAGATCAGGAAGGTGAGTGAGAAAAGGGGGGGGGGAAGGGGGAGGTGGGGGGTAGTTTGCGTTGAAAAGGTGATGTGGACGGGAAGTGGGAGAAAGGGGGGGGGATTGGTTGTCTGTGTGTCCTGTTTCCACTGCTTCCCATATTCGTGCCTCGATGCATGAAGCATGCGGGAGATCGCGGCAACGTACCTGGCAATGCACGACAGCCTTGGGAATGGAGTTCCTCAGCGCCTCCATCACAAACGTCACATACTGCGACACGTTGCTGCCGATGCGCCGCAGGTGGATCTCTGTGTACCGGTCGGCGCCCTGCGGCACAAAGTCCCCGCGCTTGGGCGGCGGCGCGTCGTCCATTTGCGGGAGGCGGCGGATGAAGTCGACGGTGAGGAAGGACGTTTCCATCTCCACCATGGTCACTGCTGTGCGCCGACTCTCCTCCCGAAACACCTCCAGTGCTGCCGATGCTGCCGCCAGCAGTTGCGCCTGGGGAATGGGAGCAGGGGCAGGGAGGGGTGGCGGGAAGGGGAAGGGGAAGGGGAAGGGGAGACACAGGGAAAACCAGGGTGTACGGGACAAACAGGGGAAGAGATGGGTTGTGGGGTAGAGGGGATTAGTGTGGATGGAAGGGAGTGGTGGCAGCGAGGCAGCAAGTGGCGGGTGAAGTCGACGGTGAGGAAGGAGGTCTCCATCTCCACCATGGTCACTGCTGTGCGCCGACTCTCCTCCCGAAACACCTCCAGCGCTGCTGATGACGCTGCCAGCAGTTGCGCCTGGGGCAAGAAGGAGAAAGCGGGAGGGAGTGAAGTGGGGGGGAAAGAGGAAACGGGAAAGGAAGTCTCGTATGTGTCACACCACCAGGCGCAGTGATCTACAACGTGAGGTATTACCGGGGGAGGGAAGGAGCGGTGGGGGAGCTCGTACGAGAGTGCACAACACATGATGCTATGTGCGGCATTGGCAGAATGGCATGTTGTTGCTTGCAGAACCACTTGTTCTTCTTCCTACCTGGAGCGTTGGGAAGCGCAGCAGCTGTGGAGTCTCCCCTATTGCAGCCTTCACAAGATCTCTGCACGTTGACATCGGGGAGAGCGAGTGAGGACAGGAGACCAAAGAGGAGGCGATGAGCAAGCACAGGATTAAAAAAAGGGAAGAAATGTACGAAGTGTGAATGACAAGAATGTTGAAAGTTGGAAAGAGCTCCAGAAAAGAAAGAACGGACCAACCATGGCTTCAACGTGCCTTTGAAACATGATCGAAGCGCCCTCTAAAAGCCGCCTAAAAAAGCTTCCAGCTTTGAGGCACCTCAACCATTCTCCCCCCTCTTCCCCTCTTTCCACACCCCCAAACCCCCCTTCCTCCCACCCACCCACCTGAGAATGAAGTGCACCTCATCCACCACGGCCTCAGCAGGCCCCTTGAACATGAGCAGCGCGCCCTCTATCAGCCGCCGATAACCGTTCTCAGGGGCGATCAGGTGAGGCTGGTACCCGTCCGCCTCTGCCACCACCTTGCGCACGTCTGAGGAGGGGGCATGGGGCGGAGACAAGAGGGGATGGGACACGTCAAAAGCCGCAGTGACAATGACAGCTGATTACTACTGGTACCCATCCGCCTTTGCCACCTCCTTGCACACGTCTGAGGAGGGGGGACGGGGGGAGGTGTGGGGGGGTGGGACGATGCAGGAGGGACAGGGAGCGGGTGAGCAGAAGGGGACGGGACAGGTACTAGCCGTGAGCAACGAGCAGCTTCATGACAAGTCGACCAGCACAACCCCACACCCCACTCTAGCGACTCACTTTGCAGGCTCAGGTACTTGTGAAACGACATCTTCTTGAGCGCGGCCAGCAGCGCGGCCGGCAGCACAGCCGGCAGATTCTTGTCAAGCCAGCCAACATTATCCCAAACCGTACCCCAAAGACTCACTCTGCAGGCCCGGGATTAGTCGACCAGCAGTTTCGTGCGCGAGTCTAATCTAGCGGATACAAAAAGAAAACTCACACATCCCACTCTGAAGACTCACTCTGCAGGCTGAGGTACTTGTCGAACAGCAGCTTCTTGAGTGCAGCCGGCAGCTTGTCCTCAAACACGCTCGTGGCTTTTAAGTCGACTCAAAGTTCACGATGTTCTCCGGAAACTCACTCTGCAGGCTGAGATACTTGTCGAACGGCAGCTTCTTCAGCGCGGCCGGCAGCTTGTCCTCAAACACGCTCGTGATGCGGTCACCGCCCGCGCGCCGCCCGTCGAGGTGGTCCTGGAAGGTGTCATAAAAGGCGCGGCTCATCTCCAGCACCTGGTACAGCTGCGCTCCTGCATCGTCCCCGATGGGCCGCCCGAACGCCATGAGCTCCTTCTCAAGCTCGTCCACGTTGTTGTTCACCAGGGCCTGGGGGGACAGGGGTGCAGTGTGGGCGGGTGTGTGGGGAGGCGAGTCTTGGGCCGACTCAAATGTTACACTCGTCAGGCTCGTCCACGTCGTTGTTCACCAGGGCCTGGGAAAGAAGGGTGCGGGCGGGTGTGGGAGGTGGTGTGTGTGTGTGCTCGGAGAGTAGAGTTCTCCTCCTCTTCCTCTGGTCCTCCCCAAACCCTCCTCACGGAAACCGGCCCAAACACGCACCGTGATGCCAGGAATGCACGACTTGATGACCTCCTCGAGGTGCTTGGACACCATCTTGGCCAGGTACTCCGTGCCCATGCGCGACGCCACCAGGTGCACTCTTCCACTGCCCCCAATCTCCCCAACCCTCCACACCTCCCCACCACTCCACACCGCCTCCCTCTCGCCACCCTGGACAGTTCCCCTCACGCCCAAACCCGTTCAACACCCTCATCCTCATCACCCATGTTCCCCCTCACCGCCTCAGAAGAACAGAACCAGCCCAAGCACTGACCGTGATGCCGGGAATGCGCGACTTGATGACCTCCTCGAGGTGCTTGGACACCATCTTGGCCAGGTACTCCGTGCCCATGCGCGACGCCAGGTGCGCGTAGTCGGGGGACGTCTGGAAGAACTCGCGCTCGCGCCGCCGCGCACTCGTCATGTCCGCCGCGCGGTTGATGTCCGCCTGCGACCGGTTCACCACTCCGATCCACGGCTTCTTCAGCTTGAACGTGCGCCCCTCCAGGATCTGCCGCACACGTGGAGAAGGGTCCAGGGGAAGGGGGGAGGGGGGAATGGGAGGAAAAGGGAGGGGGGAGGAAGGGGGAGGAAGGGGGAGGAAGGGGGAGGAAGAGTGGTGTGTGAGAGGTGAGGGAATGGGCGGAATGAGAGTGGATGGGGTGCACACGAGTGGGTGGGAGAGGAAAGAGGGAGGAGGGCAAGGAGGGCGGAGGCCAAACAGCTGGCTGCTGGCAGGTGACGCAGTGGAGCACATCAGCATGGGAAAGAAGGGAGCGAGGGCCACAAACAGCCTCGAGACCAGATGACCTTTGACTCGTCGACTTCACAGTGACCCAGACATGAACGCTCAGAAACATGATTGGTATGGCTTTAACGGGGCTGGGTCCAGGGTCCATAAGAGGAATTGACGAGGCAGCGAACAGCACTGTAGTGCGAAGCAGGAGGCGAGGGGAAGGAGTGGAGTGGAGGTAGGGCAGGGGCAGGACGTACATCGAGGGCGTTGGTGCCCTTGTCCATGAGATCTAGCTTGGTCAACACACCCCATGTGCGATCACCTGCCGGGAGGGAGGAAGGGAGGGAGGGAAGGAGGGAGAGAGGGAGAAAGAGAGGGAGAGAGGGAGAAAGAGAGGGAGAGAGGGAGGGAGAGAATGAGGGAAAGAGGGAGAAAGGGAGAGTATGAGGGAGAGAGGGTGGGGGGAGTCATATAGACATAGAGTCTGCGCGAAAGACAGCAATACATGGACACTGAGAGTCGCATTACCACTTCTGTGCTCTCGTAAGACCAGCAAGCCCAACCCTGCTGTACTAGCTCCCACCTTCCCACAATCGCATGTCCAGTCCACCCACTGCAAGCAACCACAACCTACCTTTCCTCCCCTGCTCCCCCCCACCCTTCCCCTCTCAACCCCCACCATGTGTGCTCTCTCCGTCCCCTCCCTCCCGACTCCTCCTACCGCCCCTTCCCCCTTTCCCCGTTCTCCCAGCCAACCCCCCTTCACGCCTCCCACCCATCTCACCCTGCGGATCGACCTCTCTGGCGAGCTTCATCGCGTCCGACGTGGCAAGATCCTGATTCGCGGGCGAAATCGCCAGAATGATACAGTTGGGATTGTCCACAAAGTTCCGCACCATGGACTCGATCTCCGCCACAATGCTCTCGTGCTGCCCGTCCACCGCGATCTTGGTGAGACCCGGCAGATCCACCAGCGTCAGGTCGATCACGTTCGGCGAGTAGATGCTCAGGTGGATGGGAACCGACGAGATGCCCTTCGTCTTGCCCGTCACGCGGTCCGTTTCGTCTGGTTGGCGATCGCGGGAGGGTTACGGAGAGCGGGAATTGGGCGGAGTGGAGATTGGCTTATGAGTCGCCTCAGATGAGGGGTTGATGGGAACGGGAAGTGGATGGAGTAAAAGCACAAGGCGGGAGCGGTTCCGGTTGCAGAGAAGACAAGAGAAGCTCTGCAAGCGTACGGTTACGACCGTGAGCAACAACCGGAAACGGCATAGGAGCCTCAAGCCACCAGGAGTAAAACACTCGAGAGGACATTTGATGGAAGCAGGACCAGTGGAAATGACTGAAGCACACAGAAATTCGATGTCTGATACGACCAGCAAGTAAATAGCAATGACGAGCTTCCTGAGAAATATAACGTCCACGAATTCCTCCACACCTTGAATTTCTTTTCGGATCAAGTTGAAGTCCGATATTTTCTTCCCCTGCGCGTGCATAAATTCCGCGTATTCCGGACCGTCTTGCTTGTGCAGCTGTAGCACCAGCGGCCGCCGAGTCACAATCCCCGATCCTCTGGGCAGAAAATCCTTCCCCACGATGCTCTCCAGTACGGAGGATTTACCGGACGACTGGCCTCCCACCACAGCCACGGACGGGAGTTGCTCCCACAGCGTGGGGAGAGCTGAATCCGTCTCGTCGCCGCCGCCATGATCGCCTAGCGCTGTACAAACCTGTTGTAGCCGATTGACGAGCCCGATAACGCTTTCCATGGCTCTGGAGACACCACAGACAGTGAGGGCTTTCTATGAATCGTAGCTCGAGAGGCTGCGAAAATGACTGCTGTTGGTGCTGAAAGAGGGTTGAAGCTTAATCGCAGGAAAAACTTTCGAAGACACTGGAAACACAGCAGCAGATCCGCAGCCACCTAGCTTCCAGTTGTGACGATATAGATTTCCAGAAGTATCAGTGCTGTGGGGATCGGTGCCTCCTAAAGTGGCTCTGCCGTGTTGGCTGGCTGCTGTCTTTTTTAGTGAGGGCACCCTAATCTCGAGAACTGTTGGTGCTCATCGCATTGGGAACTGGGATTCGCACAGCATACGTGCGAAAGTGAAGTGCACCGAACTAATGTCGCTGAGCCTTTTGCCTAATGTTACATGTTTCGATGGAATTGGCGAGCTGCCCTCTGGTAACCGCACCTGACAGGCTCTGACCAATTAGCAGCCAAGTCCCTTTGCAGAGGTCATTCGAAAAGCCAGCTGATGTTCCTGGCGGGCGGATCGATACCTGCTAGGGCGGACGAGGTCGAGAGACTTGGGGCTGGGCTGGACCCTAGCTTTTGCCGTGGCATGATGGGGCAGGCGGAAGCCACACGAAACATACGACATATCGGTATTTCGTTTGAAGCCACATCGACTTTGATATACGGTATTTGAACGTTTAATGACAAGCCTCATACTCTGAAAGCATCACCACTTGTCAGTTTAATCAGGAAATATAGAACTTACTGAATCAAAATTTAATTCATTGGAATTCAAACTTATTACACTCATAATTATCTGCATATAAGTCCTGATATTGTTCTGTGGGTCCCTTCAAGAAAAGCTGTTCATTTTTTGCAATATAAGACGTTGGCTTAGACTGGATTGCAGTGTTCTATGTGAAGCGGGATGAACCATCACCGAAATTTCTGTAGATCCTTGGCACTGACGTGTCGTCCTAACATTGACCTGTTCTCAACTCCCAACCTGATCTGTGTCACTGCGAACCTGGCAGTCTCCTCTTTCCCAAAAAACGAGGTGACAGACTGTGTGTCATGGAACCTTCCGTTTCCTTCTCCAATCCAAACATACCACGTTTCCTGGCCATTCGATCCCAAAAACTCGTGCAACAAATACCATTCGGATCGGACCGTCGATCGGGTGAAAGATTTCCTTCACATGAACGCGCCGCTTTTCTGTTTCCAAGTGTTCAGATCATAACACTCGGTGGCGTTATGAGACCTTGTTCGGTTGGCACAGATTCATCCTGTTCCATTCAATTTCAATTTTACCCGTCAGCTTTGCAATGGCTCTCGTTCGCGCCCTAGAGACTGCAATGTCTGGTTCGGCTGTCCGATTTGGCAGCCTGTACGATGCGCAGTGTTCACATGCAACCAGCTCTCCCGTTATCGCGCCTGTGCGTCCATCAGCAACGGCCTGCTTCTCGCCTCAAAGGTTCGCCTGCCTGCATCCCATTCTCACATGAATGCTCTCCAGCTTCTTCTTCCTTGAATTCTTTTCAATTTCCGCTCCTGAAATCTGTGAGCACATCTGCTCATGTCCGACATGTGCCTGAATGACTCTCCTCACTCGCCGTTTGTGAACAACCAGTACCAGATTCGGAATTCACCATTCTTTACTTCCTTCTCCAACCTCCCCTAGTTCACGATTTACTTTCTGGTACTCCCCGTTCACGTCAAGTTTGAGTGTGTTTTGTTAGCATGGAATTTCCTGCCTCCGTGTGTTGCGCGATGCTCCCCCCACCATGTATGTCCGTCCAGACACCAGCTGCGGCTGCAAAGATCAAGAAGCAGCAGCAGCAGCACAAGCAACGGTAGCGTTGCCAGGAGACATCTATGGCGGTGCATGGCGTCAGGAGGCGACGGCGGGGAAGAGAAGAAGGACGGGTCGAGCGGCGAGGAGAAGCAACAAGCGGCGCCGTCCGCGGACTCCCTTCCGCCCATTCCCTCTCCGCCCCCGATTGACGATCCGCTGGCGTCCGAGCCTCCACCGGTGAGCCATGGCGATCTTATCTCGTAATACCATTCAAAGCTTCACAGAAAACGATTCGTCAGCGTCAGCAACAGCAGCAGCAGCAGCATCAGTCGCGTCAACTGCATTAGCACTAAAGAGAGTTCGCTTCTGCCCTGAAATCCTCGCACATATTCACTTATCGAAAGCCATGTCCCTCCCTTACTCAACTGTTTTCCTCGTTCCCTCAATCCGCGACCGTATTCCCCCTTGTTGGTCGTCTCCCGCATCTCCCCCGCTCTTCCCCGCATCTCCCGCGCTCTTCCCCGTGCTCTGCGTGGTCCCACCACCACCAGGAGTTCCCGTCGCCGGACCTCAAGCTGCCTCGAGCCGTCATTGACTCGCTGCGCGACCGCGTGTTTGGCTTCGATACCTTCTTCGTCACGGACATGGAGCCGTACGAGGTGAGGGAGGGTGCGAGATGAGCGTACGAGGTGAGGGAGGGTGCGAGATGAGCGTACGAGGTGAGGGAGGGTGCGAGATGAGCGTACGAGGTGAGGGAGATTGCGGGATGAGCGGACGAGGTGAGGGAGATTGCGGGATGAGCGGACGAGGTGAGGGAGATTGCGGGATGCGGCTCACGAAAGAGGCGTACGAGGTACGGCGTACGGAATGAGGCGTGGGGGAAGAACCGCCGCACGAGAAGAAACGCACGGGCCGAACACGAGGATGGTGAACCGTGCGTGAAAGGCTATTCAACTGACACAGCGATCCTTCCTTCCATCCATCCATCCTTCCATACCGAACTACCTGTTCGCCTTCTCTTCACATCCTACATTCATTCGCCTCCCTCTGCTTACCCAGCAAATTCACCTCTTCCTTGTTCTCCGCCTGTCAAATCCCAATCTCCTTACTGCTCCCCGTTTCTCTTCTCCCCCTTGCCGCGGTCAGGGCGGAGTATTGTTCCGCGGGAACCTAAGAGGGGACTCTGAGCGCGCATACACCAAGCTGACTGCCAGACTCAAGGTACTGGGGGGGAAGAGAGGAGGCGGGGGGGGGGGGGGGGTAGGGGAGGATTTTCTAGGTGCCTCAAAAGTTGTTCCGCGGGAACCTAAGAGGGGACTCTGAGCGCGCTTACACGAAGCTGACTGCCAGACTCAAGGTAATGCGAGGCGGAGAGAGAATGCGGGAGTGGGGTGGGAAAGAAGATGATGAGAGGATAGCGGGGGATGGGAACGGGGTTCGCTGGAGACGAGAAGGGAAGGGAGTAAGGGCAACCCACATACCCCATCGATCCATCCATCCACCCTTCCCCCACCTATACATCCCACCACACCACACCGCCCCCTCTCCCCAACCCCCACTCCCCCGCTACGGGGTGTACGGTGAGCAGTACGTGCTGTTCCTGCTCGTCCAGGTGTCTTTTGTGTCGGTTCAACCTCCACCCCCCCGGTTCCCCCCCGGCCTCCCTTTTCCCGCCTGTCTCTCTCCTCCCCACCCCCGTGCAGGAGGTGTACGGCGATCAGTACGTGCTGTTCCTGCTCGAGTCCACGGACCAGGACGAAAGGCCCGTGGCCGTGGTGGTGCCTGGCTCCAGCCTCGATCCCCTGCCCGCACGTATGCACTTGTCGCTCAGGGGCGTGGATGGGTTGGGAGGGGTCGTGAAAGTGAGGGGAAGCGTGTTTGGGGAAGAGATTAAGCAGTAGAATGCGAAGGGAGGAGAGCGAGTGGAGGAGACATGTAAAACACACCCTGCACATGCCTCGCACTACCTCTGCACTCCCAATCCCCCTCTCCTTGCTTCTCCTCTTATTCTCCCCTCGCTTCTTCGTCCCTTCTCCTCTCCCTCCTCTCTTTGCTCCTCTCCCCATCCCTCGGTCCCCAACTCTCTCTCTCGCAACAACCGTTCTCTGCATGTGCAGCGGTGCCGGAGTGGCTAGCAGCAGGGGCGTTCGGGGCAGTGACGCTCGTCACGGTGCTGCTCGCCTATAGCCCTTCGCCCGAATTCGGGTTCATGTGAGTCCTCTATACCCCCCTTTTCCTACGCCCTTCTCCTATCGCCATTTGCCTATTGCCCTACTCTACTCCTATTGCCCTTCTCCTATCGCCCTTCTCCTATCGCCCTTCTCCTATTGCCCTTCTTGTTCTCCCACTAGGCCCTTCAGGATGATATGTAAGGTAGGTGGTAGGTAGGTGGTTTGTTCATCCATTCCGTTTACCATTCTCCAAAACGTTTTCTCTCGAGTGATTCTCCCTCACAATTTTCCTCCTCACATTTAATCCTTTTCTGATTTCGAATTCGTGTGTGGGCTTTGAGTCGACTCAAAAGTCACTTCCTTTGAATTCGTGTGAGGGGCTCTGTCCTCCTGCCCTGATCTGCGTCCTGCCTCAACTTTCCACATCACTCACCCTCGGCTTGCATCATTGCCTGCATTTGTGAGATGTTCTAACAAAACAACTGCCTACATTTCTCTTCCCCCCCCCCCCCCGCATCTAGCCCAGAATACCTACATGCTCCATGCTCCCTTCTCACTGCCTCCCTCCCTCCCCCCCGTCCCTCACTTCTCATCCCCTTCCCTCCCTCCCCCCCCTCCCCCTCGCCAGTCCATCAACAGAGTACCTCACAGGGCCGCTTCTGGAGGCGTCTTTTGAGGCGCCTCAAAAGTCGCACTCTCTTCCTCCCCCCCGTCCCTCCCTCCCCTCCCTCCCCCCCCCTCCCTCCCCCCAGTCCATCAACGGAGTACCTCACAGGGCCGCTACTGGAGGGGTTGCCAGCAGCGATGGTGTTCGCGCTGCTCATGGCCGTGCACGAGGCAGGCCATGCCATCCCCGCCAAGCAACTCGGCGTGTCACTCAGCGTCCCTTACTTTGTGCCGTCCTTCCAGGTAAGAGAGGGAATGGAAAGAGGTGACTTTTGAGTCGACTCAAAAGTTTCCAGGTAAGTGAGGGAATGGACATGGGTTGACTTTTGAGTCGACTCAAAAACCCTACTTTGTGCCGTCCTTCTAGGTAAGTGAGGGAATGACTTTTGAGTCGACTCAAAAGTCAGCTCGGCGTGTCACTCAGCGTCCCCTACTTTGTGCCGTCCTTCCAGGTAAGAGAGGGAATGGACATGGAAGGGGTGGAAGGGGGGGGAGGGCATGTGGAGGTCACGCCGTGCGTGCACAATGTGAGGTGGGCACCTGCCATGCAATGGAGTTTTGAGATGTCTCAAAACAATGTGAGGTGTGCAGCTTTGGAGCAGTGACGCGAATCACATCCACCGTTACGAGCCGCAGCGATCTTGAGACGGTTCAACATTCCCTTCCCATCCCCTTCCCCCCCCCCCCCCCCTCCTCATCCCCCCCAGCTGGGCAGCTTTGGAGCAGTGACGCGCATCACATCCACCGTCAAGAGCCGCAGCGACCTGGTCTCAGTGGCAGCGCCGGGCCCTCTGGCCGGCATGGTAGCGTCGCTGGCGGTGCTGCTGCTCTCGCTGCTGGTGCTGCGCCCAGAGGACGGGATTACTGTCAACGCCGCAGCGTTCCATGACTCGGTTCTTGTGGGCGGGCTGGGTGAGTTGGTGTCTTGTAGAGTAGCTGAGTTTTGAGGATGAGGTGTCTCAAAACTCGCTGCTCTCGCTGCTGCTGCTGCTGCTGCTGCTGCTGCTGCTGCTGCGCCCTGAGGACGGGATTACCGTCAACGCCGCAGCGTTTCATGACTCCATTCTCGTCGGCGGGCTCGGTGAGTGGGGGGAGCCTTTAAGAATAGCTACATTTGGAGGATGAGGCGTCTCAGAACTCGTTACTGGCGGTGCTGCTGCTGCTGCTGCTGCTGCTGCGCCGAGGACGGCATCCATGAAACCCACTGCTGCTGCGCCGAGGACGGCATCCATGGAGTGCATTCAGGCACTCTAGTTCCTAACCTCACTTGCACTCACCTTGCTCACCCACCTTACTCAACTCGCTCGCTCTCCGAACGCATTCATGGAAGCTATTATTTTAAGAGTTAGCTTAGGCTGCAGGTGTCTTATTCGTTTGGCCTGGAATAAATCACCACCTTGTGTCCGAAGGAGTTTTCAAAAGACTGGTGCCTTTAAGCTGCCTGGTCAGGTGCATACTGCTTGCACAGGGCAGCTTTCTCCTAATCCCATGCATCACTGAATCTCACGCTGCTCTCCACACCTTCCACACTCTCCCCTACCTTCCCTGCTTCCTCCCCCGTGCTTCCCGTCCAGCTGAGCTGCTTCTGGGCCCGCACCTGACAGAAGGCTTGTCGCCGACCCTATCTCCATTGGAGTCTCTAAATGCTCGTTCTCTGCCTAGACATAGCGAGACTGCTTTCACAGATCAGATCTTTCCACTCTCTCCCTCTCCTTTCCACTTGCTCCTCCCCCAGCCAAGCTGCTTCTGGGTCCGCAGCTGACAGAGGGGGCTTCACTGAGTCACTGACCCTGTCCCCTGTGACCTCGGCGGCATGGGCTGTCAAACCCCCCCTTCCTCAACTAGCCCTCTTCCTCCTCCCACACTGTTCTCACGTGCTCCTCCCCCAGCCAAGCTGCTTCTGGGTCCGCAGCTGACAGAAGGGGCGTCACTGACTCTGTCCCCCGTGACCCTCGCGGCCTGGGCTGCACTGCTTGTCAACGCCATTAACTGCATCCCTGCGGGCGAGCTGGATGGAGGTAGAATCGCCATGGGGCTGTTTGGCAGGAAGGTGAGTGCACAGCAGCCGCCGTCTGTAGCCTGTTGTAGCCTGCCGTCTGTAGCCTGCCATCTGTCACCTGTCGTCTGTCACCTGTCGTCTGTCACCTGCCGTCTGTCACCTGTCGTCAGTTGGCTGTCCTTTGTCATCTGTTGTCTGCATTTTCAAGACCTTTCAATTCATCTCTCCCATTTACTCCATTCTCCCTCCTCACACACATAACCTCCCTTCCTTTCCACCCCCCCCCCCCCCCCCCCCCCTCCTTTCCCCCCTCCCGCTCCAACAGTGGGCGCCGCGCCTGTCCCTCGCATCGCTCATTCTCCTGGGCATCACGGGATATTCAGGCACGTGGCGCTCTTCTCTCTGATGCTCATTCCGCCCACTTTCGCTCCGCCCTCACATCCAACCCCCCTCCCCCCTCAACAGTGGGCGTCGCGCCTGTCTTTCACATCGCTCATTCTCCTGGGCCTCACGGGCATATTCAACAATGTGGCGGTCTTCTCTCTGATGCTCATTCCACCCATTCACCCCACTCTCGCTCCGCCCTCACATCCAACCCCCCTCCCTCCCCCCTCAACAGTGGGCGTCACGCCTGTCCCTCGCATCGCTCATTCTCCTGGGCATCACGGGCATATTCAACGACGTGGCGCTCTTCTGGGTCGTGCTTATCCTCTTCCTACAGCGCGGACCTGTCACTCCACAGGCGAATGAAATCACCCCGCCCTCTGACCAGGCCAAGATCCTGGGAGCAGCAGCACTTGTGCTCGGCGTGCTTGTGTATGCACCACTGCCTGTACCCTTTTGAAGCAGTGAAGTGGTGCGGTTGGTTGGTGGGAGGCCGAGGTTAACTCGCATAACACTAGTTCACATACCGTGCGCCTGATGGTTTGTGCTTGCAACGAAGTTCTCCCCCCCCCCCCCCCCCCCCCCCACCTCTTGGTTTATGAGTGTTCTTCGCATTTGATCCCAACTTATACTGTAACTACGGTAGATTAATTTGTCATCATACTGTACAGCACGATAGAAACATCACCAACCTCATTTTTGAAATTAAAAAGCGCCGCCACACTGTAGCTGGGCATGACAAGCTGACAAATGCTGCACACCCAAAAGAACCCTTTTCTGGATGTCTACTCACCACATATTCTAATGTCATACCGTATACCCTTTACTCAATATCTTACACCCAAGCCAAACACCCCTCTGGTCTGGCTGGCATTCCCAGTGTCAGGGCAGTCAGCAGGCCTGGTTGAGTGCAGGTGGTGCCATATCAGGTCAGCTGCACTGCACGACATCCGATCTGTCCACTCCCTAACCTTACACCACCTGTCTCCCTATGCAAGCATGAATGCCGGTGAAGCACCAAGGCGAGTCTAAAGCACGCTACTACAATGTGTACGACATGGTGGAGGAAGGGAGGGAATGCTGGGAATGACGAGTCCAGGTTGAATCAGAACCTTGTGCTGGAGAGTACAGCCCTCAGCCCTCACTCCCATTCATTCTCACAATTTTCGCCCAGCCCACGCCTTCCTCCCTCCGCCTACCCTTAAGTCCTTCTCTCCTTTCTTAAACGGCTCAACGCCTGCATCCCGCTCCTACCGCACACTTTGCACATCCCACTGCACACCAGCAACTCACACTTCCGTTCTACCTAACACCACGTGATCACCCATCACCTATCCTAACTATCCATATCCCCTATCCCCTACCTCTAACCCCTATCACCTCTCCCATCTCCGCTCACCATTGACCCTAACCCCGAACCCCTCTCCCCTACCTGCTCTCCCCTAATTCCTCTCCCCTACACCCCCTCTCTGCCATCCTCAACCTTTTCCTTCACTTCTTCTTGCCCGCCGGCTTCACCTTCCCCATAAGAACCTTCCCCTTGCTCGCTCCCTTCTTGCCCTCCGCATCTGTCGGATCCGGAGGCGGGGCTTTGACTAGCGTCAGCGGTGCTCCGTCTCTCGCCGCCACTGCTGCTGAACGAGACTCGTTCGCCGCGTTAATGAACTTGGTTACTTCCTGTGGACACGAGTGCGCCGTGGCAGGGGTTTGTCGAAAAAGGGATAGGATGGGTGAGAGAGGGGACAACAGCGGAGGAGGACGAGAGGGTCAGGAGGCACTGTGCAAGCTAGGTCTCCCTTTTTCGCATCCATAATTCGTTTTTTTTTCAAAGACTCGTGAAGCGGCTGGGAAAGTGTACCTTGCTGGCGTCAAGTTCGGAGGTGTTTTTCTTTGTCGCCTTCACAACCCTCCCTGATTTTCACATGAGCCAATTGCCACGTAATCGAGCAAAAAAACAGGGCGAAGCGTTACGGATAAAAGCGGGGAAACAGAGGGAAGCAGGTAAGCGAACGTGGAAGTGAACGCTAACCTTTTCGAACTTTGATCGCCTTCCCATGCCGGTTCGGTGGAACCGCTTTCTTCTTTATGCCTTTAAACTGCTGCCCCTTCTGAACCATACCGCCTATAGGTTAGCGAAACGCAGGTGGCGCACGTGTGAATGGGATTTGGTGTGACAAGATGACGCGGATTGCGGGAGGAAGAGGCTTGTGAGGAAAAAACCGAGTCTGTTGAAGCAGCTGGGACAAATGAATCAAGGGTAATTACCTCCGTGGTAACACACTTGGAGCTCGATCGCCTCCGAGGTAACCCACGTGTTCGAATCGTAATCAAGGTATGGCGCGATCGCCCTAATGGTAACCAAAATGCCTACCTGGTCAACATTTTTGCCTGAATGGTAATGAACAGTGCACCCGGAATCACTCAGAGGTTCATACGCGCTCAAACAGTAAAACACAGGCGAATGCGGGATCACCTCCGCGTGCTCGCGAAAGCGAGCTGCCCGCGGGCAAGAAAAAAAACTAAAACCCACTCGGAAGGCATTTGGTTCGGGAGGCATCAACCCTAAAATTTTAGGGTTGAGGCTCCCGAACCGCATGCCGGTCGTGATGGGGAATAGTTTTTTTTGCCCCGGGCAGCTCGCTTCCGCCAGCTCGCGCGTCCTGGTGGGTTCGAAACCTACCAGGAGAGGCACCTGGTGGGTTTGCGCCCACCAGGGCTCGGATGGACTGACAAGTAACAGAACACGTCAACTGAACTGTATGCCCTATGATTAGCGTTTGACTCAGCTAAACTTGAACTGACAGATCATGTAACATTTCAGGAACGCGAATTACAGTTTACTGGACTTACGTTCACAATCACAGTCCAAAAAGCCAAAAATGTTATCCCCAGTGTGTGTGAATCAATGAGACTGTAAGGAAATTTCCATTTCCTTACGCCGCATCCCTGCTTAGCGCGTACATCACTGTAGCACCACAGTCAGCGCCGTTACCACTCGCGACCCTCGCTTCGACAATCTTCCCGCCACCTCGCACATCGCAACCCGACCTCTCGGCTCGGCTGGTAACCCTGTGAATCAAGAAAAACAGGAATGAGAATGACTAAGTGAAAGTTGGGTACAAGAAGCAAACCCTAGAAAACTGTACCCCATATGTGCTACCCCACTCTAGCCTACAGTAGCTTAGTCATATAAATCTGACACACCCCCATAGGCAAAGTGGGGGAGAACAAGGGGTCACAAGACCAGTCAAGCAAAGCATAGCAAAAAACAAGCTCAGGGTGGATCACAAAGTCACCACACATTCCGAGCACAAGTTCAAGGCCACAAGGCCAGTTCACAAGCAGGAGTACACATATATATAAAAAGGCTAGACAAACAAGAGCAGGTATATATATATGTAACAGTACAAGCAAGGTCAAGAGGTGAGCAAGTGAGGCAAGGTAGGCACAAGGCCCAGCTGAGTACAGAAGCGCTGATGGTCACAAGGCGCAAGTGCCTTGGTGAAGATATCAGCAGTGTTGGCCTCAGAGGCCACGTACGCAAGACGCAGCTGACCACGCTGCTGCAGCTCACGAGCAAGAAAGTAGCGGAGAGCAATGTGCTTCGTTCTGTGCTCCAGTCGCTGCTCCCGACACAAGGCCAGCATGGCCTTGTTGTCTACGTACAGCACTGGAGGAGAACGAGGCAACTCTCCGAGGTCAGTCAGCAGGTAGGTGAGCCAGCGAAGCTCCTGTGCAGCCATGGCTCCTGCGTAGATCTCAGCCTCACAACTGGAGCCGAGAACAGAAGACGAGCGAGTAGCCCGCCACGAAACAGAGCCGGAACCAAGGCTGAAGGTGTAACCCTGTGACGACCGCTGCGTAGCCTGGTCGTCAGCCCAAGAAGCGTCTGCGTGCCCAGTAAGGACCACTGGACTCTGCCCTCCAAGCACAAGCCCCATGCCCGACGTACTGCACAAGTAGCGCAACACCCTCTTCGCTGCAGCCATGTGCTCCGGTCTGTGTCTCCCAGGAGCAACATAGCGTGCAAGAATGCTAAGAGGGTATGCAAGGTCAGGTCGTGTGCAGGTCATCAGGTACATGAGGCAGCCAACAAGCTCTGGGTACGGGCCACTCGACTCTACGGACTCATCCGAAGGCAGAGCTGAGAGCGAGTGGCGAGTAGGCAGAGGAGTGGCCTGAGGCGAGGAGTACGTGAAGCCGAAGCGCTGAAGGACCTGCTGCACCATGTGTGACTGAGTCAGGGTAATGGTGCGGCGTGCTCTGTCCCGAGTGATCTGCAAGCCAAGGTAGCTGCGCAGTTCACCCAGGTCAGTGCACGTGTGTCTCTTCTGCAGCTCGGACTTCACGTGGGCTAGTCCAGCAGTGTCAGCTGTGGCAAAGACCAAGTCATCGACGTACACGAGGATGTGGAACGGCGGCAAAGAAGTGTCGGTGCGCAGAAACAGCGACGGGTCGGCAGTAGAGGGAGCAAACCCAAGAGCCGCAAGTGTAGTCCTTAGTGTGTCGTGCCACTCACGCGGTGCCTGGCGGAGACCGTAGACTGGCCGCCGTAGGCTCCACTGGGTGCCAGGAGGAAAAGACCCAGTGAAGCCAGGTGGGCGACGCAGCCAGATCTCCTCGTGCAGGCTGCCCTGCAAGAAAGCAGTGCTGAAGTCAAGAGAGTGTAGCTCGTAGTCACGGTGAGCAGCTACGTGCAGCAGTACCCGAAGAGTGGTCATCTTCGGGGTGGGAGAGAAGGTCTGAAAGTAGTCAACTCCCTGCCGCTGACTGAAGCCACGAGCCACGTAACGCGCCTTGAAGACAGGCGGAGAACCCGGCGGTCGCTTCACCCTGAAAATCCACATGCCACTGACGATGTTCGCCCCAGGAGGGGGAACAGCGTCAACGTAGGTGCCTGTGGACTTCCAGGAAGCCATCTCTGCGTCCATAGCTGCCTGCCACTGAGAGGAGTAGGGACCCTCTATCGCCTCCGCGTAAGAGCGCGGAGTCGGGATGTCAAGTGCATCCGGGTCTCCCTCAGGGGTAAGCAGTACGGACACGAGATGAGGTGAAGCAGCGGCCAAGCACTGGAACTCCTCCTGCCTGTCCTCAAGGACGTCCGTGCCAAGGGCACACTCACCCCCGACGGACGGAGGACAGACAGACTCAGACTCAGCAACAAGACTGGCGACGTAGTCTAGGCGACAGCGAGCAGCAAAGTCGACGAGCTCAGCAACTAGAGCAGACGCAGCAGTGGACTCAAAGGAAGGGTCAGTGACAACCGTAGCAAGGAGACGCGTGACAGTAGGACTGGCAGCGCGAAGAGAGTCCGACTCCGGGTCGGCAAGAGTAGGAAGAGAAGACTCAGGAGGAGAAGGCAAAGGGGCACGCAGAGGAGCAGTGGACGGACGCAGAGACATCCGGTGCGTGCCAGGGACAGGAGGAGGACGCTGACGCGAACCGCGACCACTAGTGCGAGCAGCACGGACAGGCGACGCAGGGCGAGACGCAGGCTCACGACGCTCAGCAAGACCTCCAGTAGGACCAGTGTAGGGAGACGGAGCAGGCAGTGGGGAGGCCGGCTGTAACTGTAACTGCGACGGGACAGGCTGTGGACACTCTAAGGGAGGAGGAGGACCAGTAGAAGGCGGGAGACCAAGAACCTGCTGAAGGAGCGGAACGAAGTACGGCCGAGGCCGCGCGGCGACTCCAGACACAGGAGGGACAGCACCAGCACCCGCAGGGGCAGCACCAGCACCAGTAGCAGCTCCAGCTCCAGAACCCCCAGCAGCACCAGTAGTACCCCCAGCAGGACTGCCTCCAGGACCGACAGCAGTAGCCTCCGCGCCAACACCCGCAGCAACTCCAGCTCCAGAAGTACCCGCAGGTCCAGCAGCTCCAGAACTCCCAGTACGAGCACCTCCGGGACCCGTGGCACCAGCTCCCTCAGAAGCAACAGAACCTCCAGTACCCGCAGCACCTCCAGCTCCAGCAGCTCCAGCAGCTCGCCTCCAGCGCCGGGCAAACCACTCACGCAGCTCCTGGGGAGAGAGTGGCTCTCGGCGAGAGGGAGCACCCGGTGAACCGCCAGGCACAGCACCACCAGGCGTAGTACCCCCAGGCTCAGCACCTCCAGGCGGAGTACCCCCAGGCTCAGCACCCCCAGACGCAGCACCCCCAGGCTCAGCACCCCCAGGCGTAGTACCCCCAGGCTCAGCACCCCCAGTCGTAGTACCCCCAGACTCAGCACCCCCAGGCTCAGCACCCCCAGGCTCAGCACCCTCAGCAGCACCAGAGTCACCAGCGACCTCGACAGGCTCAACAGCGTCTACCTGGGACACACCTGAAGGGGCAGGACCCTGAGGGGGGAGGGGGTCTACCGGGGGGGGACCTGGTACAAGGAAGAGCGGTGGCGGGGGGAGGGACGGAGTGCGGTAGGGGAAGAGGCGGTAGTAGGGGACCGACTCGTCGAACGTGACGTCCTGGGAGGACAGAACACGGCGAGAGGTGGGGTGGTAGAATTGCCACCCTGGGGCGTCAGGGGGGAAACCCAGGAAGACGCAAGGAGCAGCACGAGGGGACAGCTTGTCCGCAGACAAGTCGCGGACAAACGCCCGAGATCCCCAGACACGGAACGCAGACGCATCGCCAACCTTCCCCGTCCACAGCAAAGCTGGGGAGGTCTCCGGCATGGAGACCCTGGGCTGAAGGTTGATCTGATGCGCCGCGTACCGAACCGCAAACGGCCACAGAAAATGGGGGGCAGCCGCATGCATCATGGACGTACGGGCGACGTCCATGACCATGCCAATGCGGCGCTCAGCAATCCCATTTTGCTGTGGAGAGTCCGGAAGCGTGAAGGTCTGGCGGATGCCTCGTGCACGACAGTAGGCTCGCAGAAGGCCAGAGGAGAACTCTCCGCCTCTGTCAGAGTGCAGACGCAGAACAGGAAAGTCCGAGCCAAAGCTCCGCCTGAGCTGGAGACGAGCTGCGCGGATCCAGTCGATCAACACCTCAGTGACATCACCCTTGCTGCGCAAGGGGAAGACTGTGGTGTAACGCGAGTAGTCGTCAACCACCAGCAGGAAGTAGCGCTCGTGACCCTGTCCACGGACGCGGGCCGGGCCCCACACGT